GCCGAATACTACGCTTACCAACTAGAAAAGCACGTTCTGGTTATCATGACTGATTTGTCGGCCTACTGTGACGCTCTGCGTGAAGTCTCAGCTGCCAGAGAAGAAGTGCCTGGTCGTCGTGGTTACCCCGGTTACATGTATACTGATTTGTCGACCATCTACGAGCGTGCTGGACGAGTGCAAGGCCGCAATGGCTCTATCACCCAGATTCCCATCCTGACCATGCCTAACGACGGTATGTACCCTTAGCTGCGCAAACTTCATGTGCGTCGCCATGCATCTACTAAACTTTTGGTATAGATATCACACATCCTATCCCTGATTTGACGGGGTACATTACCGAGGGCCAAATTTTCATTGACCGTCAACTGTACAACAAGGGTGTTTACCCTCCGATTAACGTTCTGCCATCCCTATCCCGTCTGATGAAGTCAGCTATTGGCAAGGGCCGTACTCGTGACGACCACTCTGATGTGTCCAACCAGCTGTACGCCAAGTACGCCATTGGACGAGATGCCGGTTAGTGATATCTTGCACTTGGTACACGCAGTAACTAACCTAGTTTTACCAAATAGCTGCCATGAAAGCCGTCGTCGGAGAAGAAGCTCTCTCCTCTGAAGACAAGCTGTCCCTCGAGTTCCTCGACAAATTTGAACGTACCTTCATTAACCAGTCCGCCTACGAATCGCGCTCCATCTTTGAATCTCTCGATATCGCCTGGAACCTCCTGCGCATCTACCCTCCACACCTCCTCAACCGTATCCCCAAGCGCGTCCTCGACGAGTTCTACGCCCGCTCAGGGCGCAAGATTCCTAACAAGGACACGCGGGACAACTCTGCCCCTGAGCAAGCACAGACTAAGAACGCGGATCTGATTGAGACCTAGCTGAATTGTGGCTGTAAATATCTTGCTTTTGCGTCCCGTCCCTGCCTATCTATCAATATTATCTACTTCTCCATCTATACATCGAGCATTCTGCTAGAATCCCTGCAGATGAAATGGCCTGCCCAACTGACTGACTTTCCATGTTTGGCGCTCCATTACGATTGCCATGATGATACTTCCTATCTCTGTTACTTTTTGGTGTCGTTGTCATTTTTGCGTCTTGAAGTTTGTTCTGTACTACGGACATCTAGCTGCATATATACTTCAGTATATTCATTTCACTTCCGTAGCCAAGGTCTGACATTCATCTACATGGGGGGCTTTGAAAACTAGTACTGTTAGTAAGTCTAGAATATACCTGAAAAGTGCCATAGCTATTCATAGCATGTGCATGCCGGGAAAAAAAGAAAAAGAAAAAAAAGGAAAGGAAAAGAAAGAGAAAGTAATAAACAAAATTCGTAATCACCATATCTCTATCAAATCACCGAAATCGCTTTTGAAAGTATTATCTAGAAAATCGGAAAGAAAAACAGAAGATTGACGGTTCCTAAGTAACCCCAGACGGGAACCCAACCACTGCTACGTCGTATGGTTTCCTTTGGTTATGTACTACAGCATCGCTTAGAATCGCAGGTCCCAGTCAATCATGGGGCCAAGCTTAGGGAGGGATTCGGCAACACTTTCCACGTCCTTATCTCCTCTACCGCTAACAGTAAGAACGATGTCCTTGCCCTTGCCCATGGTCTTTGCGAGCTCAATGGCACCCCAGACGGCGTGTGATGACTCAAGAGCAGGAATGATACCCTCTGTCTGGGCCAGCGTACGGAAGCCAGAGAGGGCCTGGGCGTCAGTGGCGGAGATGAAGTGCGCGCGGCTGCTGTCCTTCCAGCTGCTCAGCTCAGGGCCAACACCCGGGTAGTCAAGACCAGCGGAGATGGAGTGCGTTTCGGAGATCTGGCCGTGTTCGTTTTGTAGAACGTAGGTGCGGACTCCGTGTAATACACCCTTGCTGCCACCTGACAGGGTGGCGGAGTGACGATCTGTCTCGACGCCGTCGCCGCCGGCTTCGACACCGAGGAGCTTGACGCTAGTGTCTTTGGAGAATGGGTAGAAGCTGCCCACTGCGTTACTGCCGCCGCCGACACAGGCAACAACGGCGTCGGGGAGCTTGCCGATTTGTTCTTGCAGTTGCTGCTTGGTCTCGTCTCCGATGACGGACTGGAACGTGCGGACAATCGTTGGGAATGGATGTGGGCCGATGGCAGAGCCGATGATGTAGTGGGTTGTGTCAAGGTCAACCACCCAGGCACGGAGAGCCTCGTTGACAGCGTCGCGGAGGGTTCGGCTGCCTGCTTCGACGGCGACCACGGACGCACCTAGAAGCTTAATGCGGAAAACGTTCAGGGCCTGGCGGCGCACATCCTCGGCACCCATGTAGATAACACACTTCATGCCGAACTTGGCGCAGACAGTAGCGGTGGCGACACCGTGTTGACCAGCTCCAGTCTCAGCAATGATTCTAGTCTTCCCAAGTCTCTTCGCAAGAAGAATTTGGCCTAGAGCGTTGTTGATTTTGTGACTACCGGTGTGGTTAAGATCCTCACGCTTCAACCAGATGTTCGAACCTCCAACTCTCTCAGTGAGGTGTTGTGCCAGGTGAAGTGTACTGGGCCGTCCCATGTAGGGGTAGTATGAACGGTACTCCTCCCAAAAGGATGGGTCGTTAAGAGCATGGTTGAAGCCTCGCTCCAATTCGGCCAAGCAGTCCATAAGGGACTCGGGAACATACTGTCCACCGAACTCGCCGAAACGGGCGGGCAATGCATCAGCGCTTCCAGTACCACTCAGTGCCTTGAGTTGATCACCAAGACCAGGGCCCGCAGGTGTATCCTCGTCTGTAATAACATCGGTGGGTTGCGATCCCTGAAGAGGCTCAACCCTCAAAACAGGCTCCAATACATTGACCTCGCGAGTCAGCGTGCCCTGGGTATCTCTTTCTAATCTGCGACCAGTAACACTAGTGAGATATTCCTCGGCCTTTAGGGCCGCTTGGCCAGCAGGTGCTTGGCCCAAAATAGTGATAATCTGACTGCCAATGACAACACCCTCGGACATTTCCTGGACAGAGAGGAAGTGCTCGCGGGTACTCACACCGAATCCCAAAGCGGTAGGGACATTTCCAGACCACTTGTGCACACGGGAAAGCAGTTCCGGAAGATTCGAGCTAAGCTTTCCTGTAGCACCAGTCACACCCATTCTAGAGACAACATAGATGAAGGAATCGGCGATCTTGCAGAGGAGCTTCATGCGGGACTCGGATGTGGCAGGGGCGATGAGTGGGACATATGAAAGACTATCACAACAAGGTTAGCACAGTCCACTTCCAAAGAATAGACCGAGGCAGAAAGAAGCTGCCAAACCCGCAAATGATTAACATACCCTGTGCTAGTACAAAGGTCTCTGAACCGAACGGCCTCCTCCGGAGGAAGATCGACCATGATAAAACCATTGACGCCAGCATCCTTACAATCCCTAAGCATACGCTCCTCGCCATAACGCAGCATTGGGTTATAGTATCCCATCAGCATGATGGGGGCTCTGAGGCCGCGGTTTCGAGCAGAGCGGACCATTTCCAATACAGTGGTAACAGTGACTCCATTCTCAAGTGCCTTCGTGTTGGCCGTTTGGATAGTCGGCCCATCGGCAATAGGATCTGTGAATGGGACCCCAAGTTCGATGATATCTGTACAGTGGGTAGACATTGTGAGTGTCTGGTTTAAAAGCAAGGGGGGAAAGAATTGCAGTAGGTGCGGGACAATGAGTGAGTCAATTGAGGATTCCGAGGGAAATAATCACATACCAGCACCTCCATTTTCCAACCCGAGAATAATATCTACAGACTCTTCAATGGTAGGATATCCAGCAGTAATGTAGGCGACCAAAGCAGCACGCTTTTCCTGCTTAACCCTGGCGAAGGTGTTTTTGATATGCTCCATGATGGAAGGCGGGGGCGGGGAAGACTGAGTGCAGGCGGAGGGGATAGGAGGGGTTGAGTTTCAGAAAGGAGTGGAAGTTTTAAAAGGGATGCGGCAAAGAATGACTCAGAATCAGTATAATTGAGAGTGAAGAGAGGAATAGTTGCAGGGAAGGGTGAATGCTGCCGTTGACTCACCTTTTCTGCAGTCACACCAGTATTGAACCACCGCAAAGTAGGGTGGTCAGGTGACCCTGTGTGGCGATAAGATAAGGCTTGCCCTGGTTCGATAGAGTACGGCGCCGATACCGGCCAAGGGCTCAACTACTCATTTACTTTCTGTATGATCAAGGTAAGAGCGAAGGTTATGCAGGACGAATAAGTCAACATTAGGATGATGAGGCCAGGTACTATGGTAAGATTATCCACCATCCATGAACACTTCAGTTGGTAACACAGCCCATAAAAGACAGAAACCAAATAAACTGTCAAAAAAAAACGCCAAAGCTATGCAGCAGAGACCAGGCACGAGCGCGCGCAGTCTGGAGCTCCAATATAATTGCAGACAAACAAAGACGCAAGACGTAGCAAAATTAAATAACAACAAACAGGTGCCACAAAAGCTGTCAAATAGACACAAACAAGCCTAATCAAGGTATCCCAAACAAAATCACGAATGCGTTCCACACTTTTCCAATCCAGATAGTGGTATCCCAAACCTGCGAATTAATAAGGAAAGACAGCAGCGCCAACCCATGCGGCGTAATAGTACATATATCGTAAAGGAATGGTATCTCAATGCCCCCTGTATAATGCAAAACGATCAAAAGGAATGGACAACAGATCATCTATAATGCATCGTGTCAACGTGAAAAGGCAAATAAATAAAAATTAAGAAATAGACAAAATTCGGGGAGCATCAAGCATTAGTAGTAAAGGAGAGACATGAAATCGTTGCGAATAATCGTCAGTCAAAACCATAACCGGACGGTGGTTTCGTATGCAAAGACATCATTAAAACCAAGTGCGCTATGGTATCAATTGAAGGAGTGACAATGAAATGTAAAAAGAAAAGGATACGCAGAATTAAACAAAACCGCTGAATGCGATAAATCAAAAAATAGAGACATATCGGTGTCCCTAGTGGTGACCGGGTAGAGTATAGGTCATCGGAGGCATATACTGGTAGCTGCTGGATGCTCCGTCAACGTTTGATGGCGCACCAAGTGAGTTGAATTCCCAAGATCTCGTGGGAGGGGCTGGGGCGCTTTGTGTAAGCTGGCCCTGGTGGCACACGGCAGTGTAAGCGTACGGCGTGCTCATTGCTGAGTATGGTTGGCTAACCGCGGGCAAAATTGTTCGAACTGGTCCATCGGTTGCAGTCGGAGGGGAGTAAACTGGAGCGGCGATAGTAGGGTGGTAGCTACTAGAAGGCGTGCCCTCAGACATCGACTGAGGAGAGGGAGCGCTGAACCCTTCCGTTCCCGAGTCGGATGCAGGCCCGGTGCTTGGGTAGTTGGATCCAACAGGAGTGGGCAGGGCTCCAGCGGTGGATGAGTAGCTTGCAGACTAGAAAACAATTTGTTAGTAAGCGAACGCCGACGAGGGTATTCATCAGAGCTAGCTGGTTACTTACGTATTTCCCAATGATCTTTTTCAGAGCATGGCCCAGGATCTTCCAGGGGAAAACCTTTACATCTTTCTCAATATTCCTGGGCTTTGGTGCAGGAAATCCCATGATAACTTTGAAGAAATCCTCACTGTCTGCCTTGGACTTGGACACAGTAAGCGGCCTGAACCCTTCCAGGTTCCGTCGAATACGATTCTTCTCCTCCACAGTGAACCGAACCCCCACGAGTGATTCAAGTAGGTAGATTGTATCTACACTCGTGATGAAACATTCGTCTTTGCCCTCCCAGTAGATGCAACTAATGCAAATACTGTTAGGCACCCGTTCTTCGGGGGTCACGGGCTTGAAATCAGCATGGATAGTGCTGCCGCTTTGCATTCGAGTGAATTGAACCAGCCGGCGCTGAGCAACGCGTTCCTCAGGGGTCCAGCTCTGCGTCATAGTGCCCAAGTCTCCGTTAAGCTTCAAGATCGCCTTTGAGGGATACATGGCATAAGGGTTGAACGACTGTGTTTGGACCATGCTGCCCGGCTGCTGTATGGTCGAAGTACGGATTAGGGGGGGGTTCGCTGAGGACGATGGCTTTGGCTGGGGAAGACCATGACTAACTGTATATCCGTTACCCCTCTGATCTGGATTGGCCGATAGGAAAGACGAGTTCCACGAAGACTGCATGGGAGACGGTGCACGCATCGAAGTTTGTGAGTTCGGCGATATGGCTGAGTATTGGGCAGCACCAATTCGGGGTGACGAGTCAGTATGGTATGAGGCAGCGTATCCATTCACAGGCGGTGGTGGCTGCAGGTAAGGGGAGTAAGGAGGGGCATAGGCTGATGGCTCTTCCTTAACCTGCACTGGAATCGTCGATGCTCGCTTGATTGGCCTGGGAAGGGTATCGGAAGAGAAGGATGATGAGATCCGTCTCTTTCGGCTCTCATCAGATGGTGACTGCTGTCCAGCATGCTCATAAGTGTAAATTCCCACTTGAATTGTTGTGGCAGGGTATTCATTCTGTCCGCGCATAGATAGCTGGAGAGGGACGGCCAGAGAGGGACAACCGGTGGTCATGAAGGACGGAGTATCCACGGAGAGGGCATATTGAAAAGAAGAATCCTGGAATCCCAGAAAGTGTGGGTTGCACTCGCACTTCTTCGTTCCAAAAACAATGGACAGTGTTGCGTACGGAGTAGTGTGAAGGTCGTAGGGTGACTGGATTTGCACAAAAACTCGTGTGCCTTCGGTGCCTCTCTGAGGAGAGTACGAAATGACTTCAGGCAACTGGTGAGAGTCCGCATTGATCATTGGAGACTGCTCGTCTTCATACGAGCTTGCATAGTCGGGTTTCGCCATGTAGGGGACACAGTCTGACATCTGGCTCAAATGGTCGGCCATCGGCGACGGCGCAAGGGGAGTTGACATATAAGCAGGCTGGCCGTATGTAGAATAAGAGACACCATCCTGCAGAGAGTGGGTGGAATCACAATCTATAATAATCATTAGAAAACTCATTTTCTAGCTGCAACAAAAGATTGGCTGCGGAGAGCGGCTCGCTGTAGGAGGTGCGCCTGTAAATGGTACTCACCTAATACGACCGCTTGTTGAGACTTCTGGAAACCAGACATAGACAAGACAGGTTCAGACTTGGCCAACAGGCCGCCTGAAAACACGTCAAAAAATTGGGCCTCTTCAGGATCCGAGAAATCCAATGTCTCATCCAGAATTAAAGGCGTCTGGAAATCCGGATCGAACTATAAACGAAGCAAGTTTTAGCAGATGATCGTATAATGGAGAGCAATGAATAATGAAGTAAGAAACAACGCCTCCCTACGGAGAGACAGGAGGTGAATCACGATTCGGGTTCCGGCCGGAAGACAGCGAAACAGGCGAAACCATAACACTGGTAATTGGATAGGAAGGAGAAACAAGACGGTTTGTTTGAACTTACCAAAACGCCGTGTGTCTTGGAGTAAGCCAGCTTGAAGGTGTTGCAGAGCCTGCAACGAGACACAATAACCTAAAAAAGCGAATGACACTGAATTATAACTAGGGTAAACGATGGTGCGCCGGGAAAGCCGATATGAGCTTTCCGAGACAGGACGAGCGACGACACGAAGCGAGCGAGGGTGGAAATAGCGACTTTCGATCAGAGCCCGGTGTCCAACGATTAAGACGGAAATTACCAAAGGCTGCTTGCAGGGCGAGAGCTAGACACAAGCCACGCTGACGATAGATATTTCACAAGCACCTATAGGGGGCTTATTTCCGTGTGAAGGCAAAAGAATAGACTGAGGTATGGCCAATCCCACGGAAATTGCGGCGGAAGTTCGTGGCTGGGTTTCAGAAAAACGAGTGAATACGACAGCTGAGCAGAGACAGAAGGATCTGAGAGTGTATATCGTGTTCTTTGTCTTTCCTTCGTATAAAGGGAAATAATTGGTTTCACGGCTGTTCCAGGTCGATAAGTTCCAGGGCCGAATGCAATCTCAGCGATGAACTACCCGCCTTGTAAGTACGAACCACACTCGGGGGTAATAAATCGGGCCGTTGCATGCACTAGTAGGACTTACCAAAGAGATGACAGAAGATCAAGTCTGTAACTGGGAGTTGCAGAGTGGTAATATGCAAAATCCTCACGATCAGGAAGCGACAGACAAGACACACTGCAATCAAAACAACGTCAACAATCAAAATCAAAACCTAAATGACGAACATCACAGGGGGAAATAAAATTGCTTGAAAATCATTGTCGGCCCTAATCTTGCTCGAGGTCCCTTTCTTTCAAGGCACGACCTGGACGAAGCAAGGAGGGTAAAATGAAAGGAGGTACGAGGAAGTGTAAATGCAAGGCACCACGGCCAGTGGCGACCTGAAGGGGACTTGGCTCACCAACCTTAACAAACCAAAAGAGCTCGGGCGTGAGATCTTTTGCTATATTCTGTATTCCGTGGTGTTCTCAACCGAGACAAGGCTCCACGAAAAGGGATGCAGTGTACTGGAAGATGGGACCAGGGCGAACTCCACTCTTCCGAAAACTGATTCGGTTGGAATCTTGATGGGCGAGCTGATGGCAAATGGGAGGCTCTTGTGGAAATGAGGAGCGCGATTTGGGCGATTGTTTCAGTTGCACCGTCGACGGAACAAACGGTGTTGCTATAGAGCCGGGGCGAGTCTTGAGACGAAAACAAACGCAGAGCCCTGAGTGGTCCGCACCAAACAGAAGATACCGGCTGTCGATCGGTACAGACGTTTCTCGTTCGAGGCAGGGGAGTGGCCTCGAGACGGAAGTAGATTGATTGTCTACTTGGGCCTCGACAGGTGAAGAGCAGTAGTCGAGAAAGTGCCGGGAGAGCGTCACGGGCAAGCCGTGAGTACAAACAATAGCGAGTGGTCCAACGACGAGCGAGCGCGTTAGTATTGGTTATTAGATATTAGAGTATGGAGGTGTAATCTTCGTCCAGTAGTCCTTGTGAGGTGGGTTCCAAGTTATTTCTCAAGGCCTAAAGTTGATTTATCGGACGTCTTCTTAGATCAACACCAATGTAGCGAATGTAAGATTACTTCGATGCCAAACCAAGCGAGTGTGATAGCGAGCGAATGTAAGCGAATGAATAAAAAACAACGAGGATATTGGGCGTGTTCTTATGATGCCATAACAGGGAGTTATGGGAGGGTGAGGGAGGAAATGTGAGGAGAGGTAGAAGGGTCGAGATGGAGGAGTAGAAGGATTTAAGGTGACCAAAGCGAGTGAGGTACCTCAGAAGGCTGATGGATAAAAAAGGAAAAGGAAAAAGAACAGGCAAGGCGACGGAGGACGAGAGAGGATATAATTATGAATCCTTTTTTCGCACTAAGCGTTGGTCAGAGAAGCAGCACTGGCCGGAGGGTGGCGGGGACTCGAGGATGTGAGGCCGTGACTCGAGGGATTAACGGGCGTACTATAATACACGACTGGACATATGCATCAGATAGGGTATTTTATATTTATTCCTGCTTATTATTATGGTGCTAATTTTGAGCATTCTTATTTATTTACTGCTATTCTGATCTGAGCGAATGACAGGCGGTTGTCCTCAACCATGGCGGAAGAGCAGCACTGTTCCCACGAAACGAGATCGCGGGTTCCGAGGTTGCGGCGCTCGCTTTTTTTCTTTTTCTCTTTTCTCTTTTCTCATCCTCTTCCCACCCGGGGTCCATAAACGGTGGTGAGGTCACGAGTGGAGGGTGGATGGGTGTTTGAGCCTGTCGGAATAATATGGGCATTGCCTATAAAATCGCCAGGTTTATTCTTAGAGGGGGACTGATTTCTGGGGCTAGGCCGCGAAGAGACTAGGAGCGAATATCTGGCAGTTCACACTGCACGGCTAACAACTTAAGTTACTCCGTCCTTCACACTTGTTTAGGCGGCCCACGCCGCCCGACCACGGTGGACCCTCTGAAGAAACAGAAATAAACCACTCAGAAACGCGGGATGCGAGATAACTATTATTAACACGGCCATCTCAGAGACAGCAGCTGGAAATGCATGCTCTTTGGGCCGCGACACTACGACCCTGGGTCCGTGGATTCTCCCAGCTCGCTGGATCTGTGCTGTCATTCTCGAGGTAGCGGTGGTCCTGTTTAGTCTACCCCGTATTTATGAGGTATCGGTGGAAACAGCTTGTAAGTCCAGCCTAACTCCTTCGAGGGCCCCTGTCACTACTAAGTTTCCCCAGAAGGGTACAGGTAGACGAGCTCCTAAAAAAAAGCTCTTGGAGTTTCACTTTCAACTCTCTCCCTCCCATCCATATTCTCTTTTGGTCGGTCTCCTCTTTCCTTCCTTTTCCTTTCTAGTCGACTTCGTCGCGGGATGATATCATGGACGATGGGGGCCCCGCAGGTCACGGTCGGGAGACTCCCGTACTACGTAGTTGTAGCACCCTCGTACCCTCTTGCGTACTGGTCACCGACTCGGCAGTCAGCGCCGCCCCCAGGGTTCTGGGAGGTGCCAAAAAAAAAAATAAAAATAAAAATGAAAAACCCTAAAAAAAGGCGAAATGAGGATGGATCCTTGAGTCGTCAAGCCAGTCGTTCTCCGTCCAGAGTCACCTGCGGAATTATTCTCTGTAGAAGCCTGGAAATACCTTCATTGTCCCAGCCTGCACCAGCAGCCAGGGCTTGAGAGGACCTCGGGACGCTGGAAACCGACCCGATCGTAGAATTTTATTCTTAGTTCCCCCCACCGTCCTGCCCCTTTCCCTCTGGGGAATTCCTTCGCATCGCCAGGTGCAAGCCTGAAACGGCCTCCCCCATCCAGTTTCTTGACCAAAGTTGAGCCACGGCTTCTTTCCTGTTCAGGCTGTCTCCGGCCCATCTCAGGGACGACAAAACCAGATTCACCCCCGTCCGTTCCATATTCTTCCCCTCGCGTGGTGCTAGTGGAGGCCAGCGATCCCTAGGTACCCAGCGGGGGCTACAACTGACAATTTGGGTTAGCACTCGAACTTCTGCGAAACTTCGAGGGACCCCCAGTCTCCGAGGAGACGTCAATAAGAAATCCTTCCAACTTCCAAGTTCCAAATCCAAAGAAAAACACCCCACCAGATACATTTTGAACAGCCAACCGCGATTCCGCAAAGCCCTGCCCGGCTTCAAGGATGGAGTCCTCTGCCGAAATCTTTTGACCAGAAAAGCTTTGGGTTGAGCTGTGACAACCAAACACCGAGCCTGTGAATCCACCAGCCAGTTAAGACAATCATCCTGTTGCCCGTGGAGTCTCGTCTGAATCGTTTGGATGTCGAAACCCTGTTCATCCACGCTGTGGCGGTGACCTGCACCAATACCATCAAAACGCCCTGTTGAGCTGTTGGCTGGTTGGCCCCGCCGTTCCCATTCACCAACCGTCCAACTCTGGCGGACCTCCGCGAAGCTCTGAAGGACTGCTCGGATTTTGTACGGACGTGGTTAGGCTCCAAGTCTCTTTAGTGAAAGAAGCAAGCCCATCTTACCAATCATAATGGAAGTCGCTTCCTCGCCTCGTCCTCCCGAGTTTTCCGACGAAAGCACCCACGGGACTCTCACACCAGATCGAGACGGAGGCCGCTTAGCGGGGGATCTAAGATGCTAAACATAGCAAACCGTGCATTGGTTCCCACGCGATGCAAGGAGAGTCCATCTTATTGGAGACAAAATGGTAGAAATGTGGAGACCACCTACCGGCACACCAATGACTGATGCACTCAGTTTTCCCTCGAATCCGCCGTCTGGCTCTCGGGTGTTTTTATTCGCCCAGATAATGGCACGATGGGATGCATAAACGATCCTTCTGAGTGACCCCGGTCAAGGTGGTACGTACCTGAGGCATGGTAGTACTGTTACCGAAGTCACGCTGCATTGTTACCGTATAGCTGGTGGACTGACAGGCTTCGAGTCGCTGGCAGAAATCGGCTAAATTGCTCAACTGCGTCTCCTGACCAAATGTCACCCCGATCCTAAAGGCTTTGAATCAATTTCTATACAATGTTCTACATCCACCCAAGGGTCCGTCATGTCGTTAGATCTTCACCCAAGGGCAGAAGCACGGGCAGAAGTGTCCGAGTCGTTAATCCCCACCGTAGTCAATAATGCAATTGTTAATTAACATCGGTAGGATGAGTATTCATCCATCCCAGAACCGCACAATTATAATTATGGCGCATGGTGAATTTGGAATACATCGAAGAGGCCGCCACATCAAATCATCGAGGAATATTACCAAAATGCTGACATCATGAGCCAAAGGCTGTGGAATCAGCTGTCATCTGTTTTTCGGAGCTGCAAAGCTCAAGAAGGCAAATACGAGGAAGTCGCTCTGTGGTACGGATACAGTGGTACATTGTTCCCCAGGTGTGTTGTGTTGGAGCCAGGTCAAATAAACGAAAGGCGCAGCAACAAGGAAGTGACGACATAGTCTCCATCGCTCCCGAAGGAAGAGTAGTCTCATCATCGAGTGGGAAAACATTCGTGAAAAGAAAGTTGAAATCTTGGATGGCCCATGTTGCCTCATCCTCGATCCAGTAAGAATTAGTCCTAGCTCCGATGAATGAGGAAGTGGTGAGGTTCTCGTCTTCGCCTTTCGGTTTCATCGAAGGCTGGCAGTCTATCCGAGGATGGCATTTACACCTAACCCATAATGGACACGAGCTTCACCCACCTCACTTCCTCGTGATTCGAGCATGTTTCGGCTTTATGATCGGAGAAAGAGTACCGGTGATCTGAAGGCAAGCCACAGACAAAGAGGAACCGTTTCGTTCCGTGGATCCAAAAAGCGGAAGATGATGGCCAAACCGCCAACAACACTGCATAAAGTTATCACAAAGTGGGCCCAACTCGATTCAATGCCGCATCGCTCATGATGGACTGGAGGTTGAGAACGACTTGGCCTCGTTTACCTCGAATCGGTTGGTAGACCGATGGCATCGCACGAAAACCAGGGGACGAACGAGCGCCGAGCAGCAGTAGTGCGAGCGAGAAGTGGGGGAAGGAAGAAGCAGTCATAGGCAGAAGGATTTGGTTTTCTTCCTGTTGTTGTTTCAATACGGAATACGGGGCGTTTGAACAGACGGCTAACCTCGGCCAAGCATACCAAGGTGAAGAACCTCCGTCCTCAGTGAGTATTTATTTACTGTTGAAGGCCCTGTCCCCAAGATAAGTGTATCAAGTTTATCACTGAGAATTGACTGCTCCGTAATTCTTCCCACAATCAAAAACGGTCCCCCGACTCTCGAATGGCAAGTTCAGGCAAAGGCACAACAACCTGTCAGGGACCTGGCTCCCATCTCGGCGAATCCTCGGCCCTGCTTAACTATCCAATTCTCCTTCAACGCACCGCCACAGCAAACTCGGAGATCATTCCTCAAAGATACATGCGGAGCACGGCACGAAGCCGCACGAAAAAATATGGTGGGTTTGGCTGATCTTCGGCCAGTCCTAAACTGTTCCACACTGGTCAATCTTTGATGGTCACCCGGGACTCGGAAGTTCGGAGAACAACCCCACCGAGGGATCGGATAATTGAGACTTTGAGAGTGCTTCTTAACGGCGACGATGCTTCGAGTTGGAGAGGCCGAAAACTCCAAAACATTTCTCCCGGGTACATCGGCTGAGCAGCGAATACGGTGTGCACTGCGGAGTAAACTAATCCACACGGGACACATGTAGGAAACTAAAAATAACATGGCCACTGGCTTACAGTCACACACACACACACTTCCCCGAATACTCGGTCGATTATCCCAACAAGATGGATGAACTCGAGCAGAAGGAATAATGGCCAAGAGAGAAACCCAACGGTCTTGAGGGCGAGTCAGTGAGGTTACCTTAAGGTTACACATCACTGCCTCAGGATCTTCAACAACAGACACAACCCTTTAGCAGCCGCAGCCATGTAACCTCGATAATCTCCAAGCAAAGAGTAGGACGATCCCTCGCTCAGCCTCTCACCATCCACAATCTTGCAGTTGCAGCTGACAACCCTTCCTGACAGGCTCACAAGCCCCAAAATAAGCGTCCCGTGGCCCGCCTGACCAGCCAGTTATCATCAAGCATCCAGCGTCAAAACAGTGGCCCGGTTTTCTTCTTGGCTTGATCGACATAAGGGAGGAATAGCTGCACGTTGCACCTTGCATTATGATCACACCGGAGCGCAGCACTGCCCCATCTCCAACGCATTCTCTTTCCCTCACATCCTGCAGGGGAAGAGATGTAAGGCACGCAATGAACGACGAACGAGCAATGTTTTCCGCAAGAGCTGAACCACGATCAGTGTTTGTTGTCTGATGCAAGGCCACCCTACCCGCAGCGCAACTCCATCCCAACCTCGCACCTGGGAAATGCCAATTCCTTCTGCATTTCCGAGGATCAATTGGACCGACACGTTTTGAATCCCTTGAGTCCCTGGTGTAATGATCTCTCCTTGTCGATCAGATTTCCGAAGTTCAGCCATCGATCCTCCGTGCGTGCGTACGCGGCACGCCAGTGCGAACACCATCCACGCTCTGCGGCCATTATTGTATCCGTGCGGAAAATACCAAGTACCAGTAGTCTACGTGCTTGCAAACCAGCCCCCCGCCTTGATGATCAGTTGCAGCAAAAAAAAAATAGTGTGGCGCTACTTTGCACCCTGCATTTCGAGTCCAAATTTGCTGGTTTTAATTGCCTCCAGCTCTCGATAATCTATACTCAAAACACCGGGTTTCGTCAACCGGAATGAACTTACATGCCTTCCATGGACCTGGAGCCTCTTTCTTTTCTTCAAAGTCTCTTAATTGGGTGTGATGCTGATCAGGGCTCCCACCCACCCTAGTCGAAACCTTAATAGACTCAGATCGGGTTCGCCCAAACACCATTTGTCTCACCAGTCGTGTGAAACACGGAATTCGACTGACCCTCGACCCCCCGGTTGAAAGGGACGGGAAGCGAAGCCTTCAGCTGAGTGAGATCCAGCGATCTCCAAATCCCATTACTGTACCTTTTTCCCGCGTAAGATTCCAACGTCCAAGAATAACTTGCTCCATCCAGGGGCATTGGTAAAACTCTTTTCAGATGTGAGAACTGGTGTTCCTGGTGATACCCTATTACCATCCAATTCCCTGTAGCAGGTTATTTTTAGGAACTAGAAGTCGGGGAGGGCGAACCTCGCCAATCCACACAACTTTTATCTGATCAGTCCAGCCACATTGATAGCTCTTCAGCTTCGGTCTGTCTGAGATGGTATAAAAAGTCCCGGACAAAAAATAGATGAAACGTAAAAGAAATGAAATACAAAAATCACTTTAGGTAACCTAAAAGAATTTCTCAAATTGGTGGCACTCAATTCCCGTGCCCAATGCCCACTTCCCACGACTGCGATCCATAAGTTAAGTCCGGAGTAGGTACCTATTACCATTATCGGAACGTTTTTGACCCTTTCTTTGCCCAATTTCATCCTATCCCAGTTTCTAGTTAGTATGTAATCAGGAACTCGGGGACATTAGTTATTGTAGCGCTTCCCCTTATCCGGTTTCGGTTAATTAACTACGGACGTACTTCGAACGTGTGTGTCGGCATCTATCTACTTAGTGTGTCTACCGGTTCCCCAAGGGCCACTTGCCCTGCAGGGCCTACTGGGGCTACTAGCACTAATAGTAGGGACTGCGGAATAAGAGGGATGATGATCGCGTTATTCCCGAAGTGTCAAAAAAAAGCACAGGGCATAAATAAGGCCTCCCACAAGGGTCACAACAGAGACGTCAAGTTTACTTTGCGGAAGGCGTGCCGGTGCAGGTTCTCTTGCCGGAAGGAGCTTCTACTGGCGATCATGATATTCCTATTGGGATCATGTAATGATGTAAGGCAGTGTGGCGTTTTGGCGGAGAGCTGAGTGATGGAGATTCCGGCTCAACGCTCTCTCTGCTTCGTATGGGGCGGACTTGCATATTAAGAGGCAACTTTGATGAGCACTCACCAGCCGCAAGCCCAGGACTTTTTTGCTCTCCCCACATTCGGCGACGCCGTTAGATGTAAACTGGCAGGCGTTAATAGGGAAATTCAATCTTAATCGAGATAGTGTGCTTATTGTTTGTCTTGGTATGGGTGGGCTTTTATGGTCGGGAGAGAGTGGACGACATCTGTATCTACCCAGCTACCGGATGCCTTTCCCATCGCCTAACCGGGGGATTTTGCTGTCAACGGTCATCTGTGGGCTTGGTACATCTAAATAAACCTCAGTGAGCACGGATAAGTTGAACTCTGGTTGATTTGTGGTCAGTGTGCTCCGCGTGCTCCGCTGGCCTACCTAATAACTGTATATACATTTCTATTGGGGATAATCACAACACCATCCCAACAAAAATCTTGACCCTTGGGAGAATGATCCTCCTCAAACGGTGACGTAAGTTTGGCTTGTTACAGGCTCCATTCAACTCTTCATGATGATAGGGTCAAGCCAAGTTGTTGCTCAGTCAAGTCGGAGGCGCACCAAAAATAAGAGAAACTTGGCCAGTCAAGACTCAGCATCACCACCAGATCATCCCTCATACAGCAGACTGGACGAGGAAAACATGAATTCAGTGACCGCCAATTCTCTGTTAGGAATAGTCCGGTGACCGCACATTCGCTCGAGCCACCGTCGTGGAGAGTATCTCACGAAACCATTCGTCTGTTCCTGCAATGTCTCACCTCGTTATCATCTCCTCCAAAAGGAGACTCTCACATGTTCTCCACGCTCTCCCGTGCGCGTACACATCCCTGAATGTGGCTGGCTGCTTCAAAACATGTCAGAGCTGAGAGCTCTCCTGGATGGTCCGACTATAGCAGACAGGAAACAGCTTCGCCCAGAAACGGTACATCCCTGGCCGGGTTGACTTTTCCGACAGCAACCACCGGGAAAAATTACCCTCGGTGCGAAAGGGATTCGTGCTACGCAAATGCACAACCTTCTCGAATTAGAGTGTGGGTCGGTAAAAGGGCTTGATTTTGGTGTAAGAAACCTACTTTGTCGAACCGCTGCAGAGCAAGATAGTACGGCTCTGAGAGGCCAACTGCCTTTTTTGTGACAGTCTCCTTCTTGATTTTCCTTGCTGCCATCACGTATACCTTCGAAAGCGTATATCGATCCAGGCTATCGTGGTCACCGACGAGGATTTCCCCTGGCATTCTCCAACCGTGTCTCTCGTAAATAACTTCAACTAGTCGGGTGAGGGTGTCTGCCTGCCATGTCACAAGAAGTTCGGTGTGGAAAGCACTCATATACTGCTTGACCACCGATATATCAAGGTTGAGTCGAACACTCTCCGAACAAAGTTGTTTCACTTTGCTTTCGAGCAGTTTATTCGTGATCGTTAACTCCCTCAAAACCGCACAATACTCCTGATAGGAAACCATGTCAGCTTGCCCTTCGAACTTTGTTCAGCCAGCATGCAAATTGGCTCCGCGACCATTTGTCCATTCAAGATTTACAAACCTTGAGGGCAGCATCTTCTGGCCTTATCTTTGGTCGACTCGGCTTGATCTGCGAGCGATAGAAGGACAATCCGGGACCGTACCTCTGCACAATGTCGGTACTCATGGCGATAAACCCAAAGGAGAAGGCTGTGGCCGCGACAACGAAGCAATGAGTGGACTTCGATAAAATAAGGGAATAGCTACCTTGACTGCTAAAGAACGATGGTTTCTTGGGCCCGGCAGAGCCCTCGGATGGTCTATCGTAATATTGGAAACCTACGCTGGTAAGGAAAGAGCGAGTCGCCCCATGATGGTCGGGCTTGGGAAAGAGCAAGGCATTCAAATTTCATTTACATCCTCCCAGTATCAAACAACCCAAGCTGACTTACTTCGCTGTGCATACACAGACCATGAATACGGTTTTGCCCAGACCTTCTTGTCTAGAGCTTACTTCCGGAAGACTTTCCGAATTCTATGACCAGCTTTCCAAACTGCTTGCTATCCTTCATGTCCTGGAATAGTCCATCGAGGGCCGCAACATCGCTTAGCTCAGTCTGAACAACGCGTGATACAATAGGGTGGACTTTGTGTGTGCTGACAAAGTTGACCATATCCTTGAACTCTTTCCGGGATCCCATTGTAGAACCGCGTACGTCGATGTTCTTCAGAACCGCGGGCATCACAAATGGCATCTTGGGGGAAACCGTCATTCCATAGATAGAGAGGACACCACCAGCCTATGAAGAGTTAGCTTCAGAGAACACCGGGGCGCATTGTGATCCTGCTTAAATCATACCTTCAGCAATCGCACCGACTTCTCAACGGAGTCGCCGCCCGCTCCATCAATAACCGCATCGAAGTTCTTCTTTCCCTTGGGGAGTAAGCCTAGCAACTTCTTTTCCCACCCACTCTCCTTGTAATTTGCGCCTCCCTTTGCACCGAGTTCGATGGATTTTCGAATTTTATCCTCGCTTGAGCTCGTCACGTATACATCTGCACCTCGCGCAACAGCAAAGAGCAGGGCAAACAGCGCGACACCTCCGCCGATACCTGTGATTAAAACCGCAGAACCCTTGCCAGTGTTGTGCTCCCCCGCTTTAACGACTAGAGCTCTCCATCCTGTCAAGCCTGCAAGAGGCAGGGCGGCTGCTTCGGCATCTGATAGGTGCTCGGGGGCCTCTTCAACCTCCGACTCTTCAATCGTGATATAGTCCTGCAATGTCCCTTTATTGTAAAGCTTCGTTCCTCCCATGATTTTATAGCCCATCGGGTCCTCAGGTCCCTCAAGAGAATCCTTCCAGCCGGTTCCTGGATTCAGAATGACTCGCTTTCCTTGCCATCGACCTGGGTTTGTGACACCGGAACCTGCGCCCACGACAGTTCCAACTCCATCAGCACCCATGGGTACATCAAAGGTCAGACCCGGGTATAGATGCTGCCGCAGAAATACATCGCGATGATTGAGGGCTGCTGCGGACAATTTCACCAACAGCTCGGTGCCCTGCGGGGAGGGTTGGGGTAAGGTCTGCAGGGAGAGCGGATAGTAGACCTGCCCTGGCTTGCCTTCAGCTTTGCCGAGAAAGATTGCTTTCGACATGGTGGAGATAGAAAGTTCGACAATTTCCTATATCTGCAGTTATTCAATGCAACGAGGATGAAGATGTCAGATTCCAATTGTTGAAGAAGTATTCGGTTGAAATTGTATCACATCATCAAAAAAGACGACGTGCGGGGATGGGCGAGCGTTATCGATAGCCGAGGCTGTCCGGAGCGTCGACACATATCACGAGAAGAAGGAAAACTCGAGACGACAAGCGATATAAACAGTATTGCAATTCATTATTTACTCGTGCAGCCAAAACGATGAAGCAATCATTTCATCCTAGCCGATACTCGTGATGCAACTGGGGCATTGTGAATTGTGATAGAACTGCCTCGGTCCAACAATCAATTCCACCGTTCGCCAAAATATACATGGTACCAAGACAACATCAGGACACACTTATCAGCGCATCATGCATCGGTTGTGGGAAAACTAAAAAAAAAAAAAAGGACCCATATCAGAATCTCGAACAGCAGCACAGAGACTCATAATAGCTCTCTTGTTGACACCATCCCAAATCCGCCGGTGGGTGGTAACAGCTTGTTGGCGGACATTTGTATCTCGGCGGTTCGCAACTATTGTATATGTGCTGACAGTGGTGCTTGCGTTCCTGATAGCTATACCGATGGTCGGAGTAGTAGATGGGTGGCACAGGACCGCAGACGTCAGTGCGAACTTCACGGATGTATTCCCCACGCTTATAGCCTTCGCGAAGAGGTTTGCCGCTCCAGTACCAAGAGTATGGAATGTTCCGACTCGTTTGCCTTTTCGCAGACCAGAAAAGCAAGGGCATGGTTGTTGATGAAAGGGAGGATTAGGAGGAAGGGAAGTAGGAATTTGCTAGCCCGTTCGACCAGGTGGGATGCTGGATGAGACTCATCGAGTTCTCCGTTGGTTTGACTGCGTCTTTCGACATCGTCAAGTATTTATTCCGATTGGGTTGGGTCTACCGAAACGCTGTATCCTTGCCCGTATCCCATGTCCCCAAGTCCGTACGACATACGACAAACAAAGAAGGGAAACATCTACAATCTTCGGTACTAATTCTGTGCGACAACAGGGAGCCTTTCTGATACGTGCTGAAAGCATGAAAGCAGATGTACCCGGCGGAGCGAGTATCTGGAAAGGAAAGGGACCAAACATAAAAAACATAAGAGCCGAAATTCTCCCGCCAAAGCAACCAAGCTCTGTTCAGAGATGACTAAGCATCAGCTGTAGGCTGCGTAAATGACCATGATGTTGACTGGGCCTGGGAGCCATGACAACCCGGTTGCTGTTCGAGAGGAATTGGCTTAGACCTTGAGAGTTGCATGTGCTCTCCTGTAAGGGATGGCAGGGTGACCCTTGCTGCGAGTCGAAGTTCAAAGCCCCCCATGCTATGGTGAATGGTCCAATGTCCAGTGATCTTCTGCAACGCAACGCTGACCGCAGAATATCGGCAGGGCCAAGGCGAGAACCCCAGACGCCGTTGGCGCGTCCGGTTTTGAATCCGTGCAGTAATTGGCGTTCCAAGACGCGTCCAGAAAGTGCCCAAGTGGCTGTGAGCCTGCAAGTGTAGAAGTACAGCGAGGGGCTGGGGTTGGATTGTGGAGGTCGCGTGCCAATCGCATTCTGGGGGTTTCTCGCAGATCCTGGGTCACCGACCCCTAAACAGGGCTGGGATATAATCGAAGTCAGTTTGAAAGTTGAACCTTGAAGAATTACCATTCAATTGCACCGGGATATGGGGAGCGCGAATGATACATATGCTGTGTACCATCACACCTATCAGCAAGAGTCTGTTTGCGTTGACTCAGATTTCGCAGGGAAATTGACTTGAATGACACAGAAATTAGTGTGATTTTGTTAGTGATACTCGCAAGTCTTCCAGATCCAACCCATCACCCCGCAAGCAGGTTCAGGTTGTGTTCGTTCTTAGATACCAGGGAATCTGGCATTTGTCGAAGGGGTTTTATCTCAAGATTAGGATGATTTCACGGAGAGCAAACAATGACTTGGTTGGATGCATCTTCCCTTTGTCTTCTTTTTAACAGCAGGAACCTTCTTTTCGAAATTTATTTTTATTTTTGCGCAAACTGTTAAAACATACGCTGGAAAAGCGACACGTCGAAGGGAACGAACTTGAGAAGGCGTTTGCGTCTGAAGCACCAGTGGTCTTCGCGCGTGGCATTACAAACAATTCGGTCTGGCAGGGGATAACAACCACGCACCATTTCCCAAGATTCTCGAAGCTGCAATATAACTTCACTTCAAAGTCTTCGTGCTGAGATTTATAGCTCCTGGTGCTAAATAGTAAGAGCCCATTATAGAAATCAATATAAAAAAACTCCTCGGTATTCTCGTGAGAAGGTTTCGTGATGATTGGTGTTCCAGGGAGCTTTACCGAAGAAATGGTTTGTGTGTGTTCTGTGGCAGAATAAATTTCATAAAATTTGAGGGTTGGCTAGTGTCGAGCAGAATAAGATACAGCCGTGACGTCGACAGTACCTGCGACACTAATGCCACGGCCCTAGCTAATTCGCCGCAGCCTCTTCATTTTTCTCAGGAACTTCGAGCCTCTCCAGATCTTCTTCTTGACTTGGATCGTCTAGCGTTCTTCTTTCGTCTCGACTTCAACCTCACCCCTCCCGCTATCTGCCCTCAGAAACTCTGCTAGAGCACGTACGTGATATCCTCGCCTCGCTGTTTGCTCCCGTCCTGCCCGCTTCTTCTGCCCTCATCCAGCGCGGATTTTGTGCCCTTTCCCTCTTCCACGTCCGTCGAACGATTCGTCCTAACACCGCACATTGCTCCGTGGCAGTTCTAACTTTAATATAGCTTCCAACTCTCGACATTTGCATCTTTCTTCCTCATTCTTATCAACCTTCGATCTTCATACATCGTTCTTTAGCAAACCAACTTCGACATAATGCCGACGCCACTCCCTTCGAGTTTCGCTTCGGCCGCCGCTGGCAACACCCAAGATGCCTCGAGTAGGAGAGGTGATGGAACCGCTGGTGGAGAATGGTATGCAACCCAGCATTGTTTTCTCGTTCTCTCTCCGTGGCTGCAATCAGCAATCTATCTATCTAGTTTTCGTCCCTGCCTGCTAATTGCTTCTTTTTTTCGAACTAGGTCACGCACTCGTATGAACGGAGCAACACAAACTTTCCGTCGTCCATCAGTTGCCACAAATCCTTCTCACACTCGAGAACCACTCTCCGCCACGACTCCGACCGGCGGTGCCTATCCTACGCACATGTCTTCCACTCTTTCGAGCGTGTCACGTAACGGGCCGTCTAGCGACACCCGTTATTCAAAGGACCAGCTTCTCGACCTGTATAAGGCTCAACGGGATACTGGGATTCTGACTAAAAATGTTGCGGATTATTTTGTCGCCGAATGGAACCCTCACGTGGAGAATGCGTCGATGAATGGGGTTTGGGGGAAACGGGATGACCACAAAGATAATTCAAATGGACCTGAGGTGTGTTGGGATCATGGAGGAGAAGTTGAGCCTCTGGGGTTGGTGGATATGACCGATGATGAGAAAGAGGTTTGCTTCCCTGTTTGAGGCCTCATCTGCGGCTTGTATTGCTTCTTCCGAAGTTTTGTGCTAACTACTATAGATATTCACCGTCTCGGTCAATTCCCCACTGAAGCCGCCGCCCACCAACGCTTCTAAGGAAAACGTAACTACCGGTGGCCCAGGCCGCAGAACTTCGGTATCCTACTCGCAAGGAAATGCGAACCCCTACAATACCTCGTCCCCCAGTTCAGCACGGCCGGGTCCACGACGCCGGGAAACAGGCGAATCAGTTGCGAACCCCATGTCGCCCACGACGAGCGGCTCTCGCTTTTTCCGTGACGAACCTAATACCTCAACCCCGCCTCCGTCGCTCCTGCGCCGCAAAACCGATTTTCGAGACACTACATCTGTTTCTAAGTGGGAAGAAAAGGAAAAAGAAGCTCAAGGCCGAGAGACAGCGGAGGCTTCTTCGCCCTTTGGTTCTTTGAAGCGTAGCTCTACGAACCCTGTGGCAATGCCTGGCTCGACCTCTCCTTGGCCGTCTGCTTCTCAGAACGCCAATTTTTCGCCCATGGGTGCCTTTGGAGCGTTTAATATGGGCTCATCCAGCGCTGCACAAACCCCGACGACTGAGAAGAAACCCGGATTTGGTAGTTTGCGTGGGGAAAGTCGCTTGAAGGGATTGTTCTCAAAGGATAGCCTGGAAGACGTTTCTTCCATTAGGGAGAAGCCGTCATTGAGTAATCTGGAACGTCTCGGTGAGAGTGAAGCTGAAAAGCGGTCTCAATCGCCTTGGGGTGAACAATTCAAGACTCGCGCCGGCCGAAGCGAAACAAACCCATTTTCGGACGAGCCTCGCAGTGGGAGCGCTGCTCTAGGGGGGTCTCAGGACGTTAGTTCCCCTTCGCAGGCGGCGGACCAGCTTGGATTCTCCGCCTTTGGAATGACGTCTAGCATCCCTGGGTTCCGTGAATTGATGCAGAGCCACGAGAACTCGCGCAACCCGACACCTCACCTCCATGGGCGTGAACCTACCAGCCCCACGAATACAAACCCATACCAAAGCCCACAACATGGCGAGAGGGGGGATGCGGATGATGTGGACACTGACGGTTCTGACATTCAAACTACTAGCCATCCCGGACTTAGTGGTCTGCGAGACTCGAGCACCTTTGGCTCCGTCCGTCGTGTGGGATCTGGAATGGATCTTCCATCTCTCGACCGTAGCCAAACCTCTAGCGTCGCAGGGAACCGGAGTTTCAGCAATCTGGGTAGCCTTGGTGGGCTCCCCTCTCTTGGTGGCTCTGGATGGCCGTCTAGCGGAGCTGTTGGCACTCCGACCAAGGAGAGGTCTGCCTTTGCTGGAGGCTTTGGCGACCCTATTTTTGGCTCAATGGCTGACCTCCAGTCTCCGAGTTTATCGACCTTGGGTGGAGGCGGACTCTTTAGTCCTCACACTGGAATCTCAGGCACTGGAAGCATCGGTCGTTCAAGCAAACTCGGTTCGCTCTTTCCGCAAGCGATGCAGGAACAAATTCAGGGCGATCAGCAAAGGCAAGATTTGGGCAGTCTTGATGAGACGCAGCAAGGTGAGTTTCATTTTATCGTATATTTCGAACAGTTCTAACGCGAAATCAGATCTACAAGCAGACGCTTCTGGTCAGCCGATTCCTGCGACCACATCCACTTCGCATACGCCAGTTTCCGCTGTAGGCTCCATTCCGACTTCCATCGTTCAAGAAGGGCAACAGACAAGCCAAGCGGGAAGCACTGCAGGCTCGGTCCCCACAGCTCAGCAGCGGACCATGGTGATGCCGGACAGAATGCGCTGGATCTACCGGGATCCGCAAGGAAACATACAGGGCCCATGGACAGGATTGGAAATGCATGATTGGTTCAAGGCTGGTTTCTTCAGCCCGGACCTGCAAATCAGGAAGCTAGAGGATCCAGAGTTCGAGCCACTAGCTCAGCTGGTGCGGCGCATTGGCAACTCGCGAGAGCCATTTCTCGTTCCACAGATTGGAGTTCCCCATGGTCCCGAGCCGAACGCAGCTACATGGGGAGGACCTGCTCCTTCTGGCTCCGCCCAACCTCCATTCCCAGGAAGTTTCCCAAGCTTTGGCACCACCCTGACGGCTGAGCAGCAGAATGCTTTGGAGCGTCGCAAGCAAGAGGAACAGTATCTCATGGCGCGGCAGAAGGAGCATCTTGCTCAACAACAGGCTATAATGAAGCAGATCAATTTCCAGCCTGGAGTTCCTGGAATTCACCCTCCTCAACTTCAACACCATTCCAGTGCTCACAGCCTTCACAGTCAGCCCAGCTTTGGCAGCATCGCCTCGCCAATTGGTTTCCAACCTTCTCCTATCCAAGGTCCGATGCAGCAGCAGCAGCAACAGCAACAGCAACAATCTGGCTCCGGTTTTTTCGATGCTCCAGGCCCTATCAGGCCGAACCCCCTGCCCAACGTTGGCTCCCAGATGCTCGGGACGGATTTTTTAAACAGCAGCCAAGAGCAGCTCCCTACTCTTCTCGATCGTTTGAACGTGAACAGTCGATCCGATCCTTTTGCCTTCGGTAGCCCAACGTCGCTCGCCGCTCGACAGCCCGATAATTTATTTCCCAGTCCGCAGGTAGCATCCATGCTGCAAGACCGCGCACGACTGCAGCAGGAGCAAGAGCAATTTGACAGCACCCACGGTGACAGCTTGTTTGACCAGCAGGCCCGCGAGGAAAGGCTTCGTCAGTTTCATGCTCTAAGGGCACAAGAAGGTGAATTTGGTTTACAAACTGCCGAAGGGCTACCAACTCATCTCGCTACCGATCCTTCTCAATCGCTTGAAGGTGTCGAACAAAGTTCAGCTATCGAGGAAACCTCGGCATCGCTAGGACAAGAAGAGCCCGTCTTGACCCTTTCGCAGCAGGTCCAAAAGGCCGCCCAAGAGCAGGAGGAACAGGAGCAGAAGAAGCAACAAGCCGCCAGTGACGTTGCTTGGGCTACTAAAGGTGACTCTGCCATGCCCCAGCCCTTCCCTCCACCACCGTCGGCTTCACCCCTACCTGCTCCAGCTGCCCAGCGTAACCGCCAGAATGTAGCGGAGTCCCTCGCTGCCAACTCGCGTTCTCAAACCCAGACACCTGTTGAGGCACCTACCACGTCCGTTGCACCATGGGCCAAGGAGGTGAACGAGATGCCAAAGGGGCCGTCTCTCAAGGAAATCCAAGAGGCCGAGGCACGTAATGCAGCACAGAGAGAAGAGTTGGCAGCAGCCACTCGCAGAGCACAGCTACTTGCGGAGCAGGAGCGCCTTAGCCAGGCTCAGGCTCAGCAAGCTCCTGGTCTCCCATCGAGCGCCAACTGGGCCAGCGCTGGATCCCCCGCAACTCCCACATCGAGTGGCTCAGTCTGGAATAACAAGGGTTCAGCTCCAACTGCCACGACAAAGAAGACCTTAGCCCAGATTCAGAAAGAAGAAGAGGCTCGTAAGCAACGTTCGGCTGCTGCTGCTGCTGCCCAGGCAGCTCAGAATACTGTGGCTACTTCCCCCGCCCCCGCTCCTGCTCCCTCTTCTGCTGGAAAGCGATATGCGGACTTGGCCAGCAAAGCGCCAGCTGCCTCTCCAGTCAATGCCAGCTCTGGCGCATGGACCACAGTTGGTGCCAGCGGCAAGGCCAAGGCACCTCCTGCAGCACCCACGGGTCCGCGCTCCACCAGTGGGCCTGTTCCCATCGCATCATCGCCAGTCCGACCCAAGCCGGTGACAGCAGTTCCTACCGCACCGCGGGCCATTCCTGTCAGCGCACCTTCGAACCCTAGCCGGCCCATGGAGGAATTTGCCAAATGGGCTAAGCTGACGCTGGGCAAGGGCTTGAACAGCAACATCAATGGTATGACCTCTTAATGAGTTTTTTTTTGAAAAAACCGAAGCTAACATTCTACTAGTTGATGACTTTGTCCAGCAGCTACAGCTTCTCCCCGCAGAGGCGGAAATCATTTCGGACTCAGTGTATGCCAACTCGCAGACGCTCGATGGCCGACGATTTGCCGATGAGTTTATTCGCCGCCGCAAGCTGGCCGATAAGGGCATTGTGGAGTCGGTGTCCACGAGCGCCCTTTCGGAGACAAACGGCGGGGGATGGAGCGAGGTTGCTAAGAAGGGATCTGCTAGCACACCGCGAGAGGAGGATACTAGCAGTGCGGCATTCAAGATGGTTGCGCCTCGCAAGAAGGGCAAACGGTGAATGTGACTCATGTATGTATGATAGTCAGCATGGCTGGCATTTTGTATCTCCACTTGTAGTTTAATGTGAGACTCTGGACCGCCCCGTCTTTTACTTTTTCTCCATTCCCAAAAACGTAATTTTTACTTTCCCCCGCCCTCCTTGCATCTCATCCTTTTCAAATCTCAAGAACAGTCACAATATGGCTTCACGGACCTCCTTTGGTGGCCCCATGAAAAACCACTTCCTCATCGACCCCAACTACCGAAACCTGAACCACGGTTCCTTCGGGACATACCCGACTCAAATCCTCGAAGCTCAACAATCCATTCAAAAGTCACTCGAGGCCGCTCCAGACATCTTCATCCGCTACACCCAACCACCCCTTCTTGACAAATCGCGTCAAACCCTCGCGACGCTTCTTAATGTCCCCGTCTCTGAGTGCGTCCTTGTAAAAAACGCAACTACCGGGGTGAACACGGTCCTGCACAACCTTGCCTTCACCCACACTATAACACCCAACGATGTCGTGATCTACTTCGACACAGTCTACGGCGCTGTCGAGCGCAGCCTCCTCGCACTTAAAGAGAGCTGCGGCGTTCAGCTGCGGAAAGTGAAGTATACTTTCCCGCTTGAAGAGGGTGAGCTTGTTGCTAGGTTTCGCGATGTCGTGGAAGAGGTGAAGCGGGAGGGGCTCGTACCCAGGGTCGCTGTCTTTGAGACGATTATCTCGAACCCGGGCATCAGATTCCCGTTTGAAGAGGTGACGAGGCTCTGTAGGGAACTAGGGATTCTGAGTCTGATTGATGGAGCGCATGGCGTTGGAATGATCAAGCTTGATTTGGATAAGCTCGGGGCGGACTTTTTTACGAGTAATTGTCATAAGTATGGGTGTCTTTATTTTGGTCTTGGGTTCTTCTTTTGCTAACTCGACTGTTTAGGTGGCTCTATACCCCGCGCTCTTGCGCGGTCCTCTATGTTCCAACAAGGAACCAGCATCTGATTCGGACCAGCCTGCCGACATCATGGAACTATGTCCCACCGGCTCCTTCTACAACGAGCACCCAGGGAGCAGATGATGAAGAGCTCCTCCCGTCTGTGCTCCCCACTACAGGAGATCCAAAGTCAGCCTTCGTCACGCTGTTTGAGTTCACCGGGACAGCCGACGACAGCGCATATGCCTGCGTCCCCGCTGCAATGAAGTTTCGCACTGAAGTCTGCGGCGGTGAGGAAGCGATCTATGGCTACCTTGAGAAACTGGCGGGGGAAATAGGGGACGTTGTCGCTGCGGCGCTGGGGACGGAAGTTCTTAGGGCTGTGAAGGGAGAAACTGGGGGGTTGGGATGTGCGTTGGTTAATGTACGCTTGCCGGTGAGGATCATTGAATCTCTGCCTCCGGCCCGAAAGGAATCCGATTCATCAAATGGGATGATATATGTGCGGTCTGAGGATGCGAGTAGCTTGTCGCATTGGATGCATGCGCAACTGGTGGAAAGGGGCACCTTCGTGCCCATTTTCCCGCATGGAGAGTGGTTCTTTACTAGGCTGAGTGCGCAAATTTATCTGGATCGAAGTGACTTTGAGTGGTTGGCTGGTATATTAAAGGAGATTCTGGGAGGGGTAGAAGGGTTTTTGAATACCCTCAAGGTCCCCAAAGCCAGTCTATAAATGAGGTTCAGTGGCCCGCCCTCGTGAGGCATAGGTCAAATATATACATAAATAGTTTGTCTAGTTGGCATCAGCGGAAAAGACACGCTTCCCATCAAAGTACGTTTCGCAAACTCTTGCCTCCAGCAGCTTCTCTGCATCCCAATCCATATCAACTATCACAAAATCAGCCTTCTTCCCCACCTCTAGAGATCCTGTGATATCATCCGCGAAGCAAGAATACGCCGACCCAGCCGTGGCCGCCTGAACAGCCTGCAAAAGATTCAAGGCAAACCCCGGGTTCACGGTTTCCTCACATTGGGGCTCCCGCGCAGACCGTCTCGTCGTCGCCGTATACAAGTTCCGCAACGGGAGGTGCGGCGCCGTCGGCGAATCCGTCCCAATGGCCACATTTGCCCCCTTGTCATGGAACTCCCGGTAGGCAAACGCACGCCGCACACGCTCTGGTCCGAGAAGGCGAGTCCAGGCGCGCAGGATAGCTGGGTCAGCATGGACAGGCTGGATACTAGCAGTTATTCCTAGGGCTGCGAGCCGCTCTGCGTCTCCTGGGGCCGTGACCTCGAGGTGTTCGATACGGTGGCGACGCGAGACACCATCCGCCGGCTTCACAGTCTCTAAGGCATCAATTGCAAGACGCACAGCTGCATCACCGATAGCATGCAGAGCACACTGAAGACCTGCCCCGTCGGCCCGCTGCACGACCTTGGCGAGGATACCAGCCTCCCAGAGCGGCGCGGGCGAAGCCACAGCTGTACTATAGGGCTCAGTAAGAGCAGCAGTGCAGGCATCCACTACTCCATCACAGATGACCTTTATCCCTGCTATACGGAAATCCGGCGAGGTCGTCTTGTTGTATTCGGCATGTAGGGCGATCGCCCGATCAACCTGGGACAGAACCTCAGCCTCTGTCGCGGCAGGCGAGATGATCCAATGCATGGCGAGACGAATGGGGATGGATTCCTGCGCACGCAGCTGCGCAACCGTCTCCCAAATATTCTCGTCCGTGGCCATCTCCACCATCCCCGTGTACCCGGCGGCATTGTATGCGGCCACGGCGTTTCGCACGTACGCGTGTTTCTCAGCTACCGAGGCCACGCGCGCGGTATGCGGCCAGACAATCGTAACGGCCGCAGCTTCGCTAAGGAGTCCCGAGGGGCGGCCATCCTTGTCGCGTGCAATATCTCCCCCCTCTGGATCGGGGGTGGTAGCGTCGACGCCGAGATCGGCGAGGGCAGCGGAATTGCACCAGGCGGAGTGGAGGTCTTTGGAGTCGATGAAGATAGGCCGGGTGTCGAGGTCATCGATCATGCTGGCGAGTGCCTGGCCATCGGTCATGGAATGCATCCAACCACTGCAGAAAAGGCGTTCTGCGTGTGGGCGTTGAGCGGCACCTGTGCAGATAGCATTCCGGATGTCTTCTATGTTTTTGCACTGCGAGAGATCGATTTTGGATAGGGAGGCTCCGAAGAGGAGCAGGTGCATATGTCTGTTTTTATCTTACTTTTAATACCGTGAAATACATAGAGGTGGGATAATACACCTACCCATCAATGAAACCCGGCAGAACTCGCCGTCCAGCTAGGTCAACCTGCTGGTCAGACACAGGAGCATTCTGCTCGGAGCCCACGTAAACAATACGATCATCTTCCACGGCCAGGCAAGACGCCTCCGTTGGTGAGGCGATAACGGCGTTGCGAAAGAGAGTCTTCATGGCGGGGTAGTAGTGAGTTGGAGTTGTGGAGAGAAGAATGAAGCATTTGGTACGCGGGGAATCGGCTCGAATTCCATTCTCGCAGCGTAGTTCGTTTCATGGATACCAAATTGCCATTCCTGTTTTTCGTTACATCGTAGGCCTATGTTCTATTCTGCTATTCAAGCTAAGGGTAACACTTTCAAAAAAAAAAAAAAAACAAAAGGAATTAAACACTAAGAGAAGCAAAAAGAAAAAGCAAACCCCAAACATCAATCTCCCCCGCCAAGTCGACTACGAACCCATCCAGCCCAACTTCCCGATCCTTCACCACGGCTTGTCCGTGAACTGGGACCCTGCTCTTCATCAAATGAAGAATGTGCGCTGGATCTCGAGAACGAGCCTGGTCGTCTAGTTTGGTTAGGGTTCCCCTCGGATCTGCACAAAAGGTGAAAAAAAGAAAAGATCATCAGTTACCAATTCATGATGTGAGCCTGTACTGGGCGTATACTTACGGCGCCGTTGTTGTCGCTTCCTCACTCGTTGGGTCTATTGCTCGTCGACAATGTGGGCAAGTGTTATGTTGACTCAGCCACATTTCGATGCACTGCGGATGGAACCAGTGTGTGCAGGGAAGAACGGTGACCTGGTCGTCGACTTTGACAGCGTCCATGCAAATCGAACATTCGGTGCTTTCAACGCCTCCCAGCATATCCTTGGTGACTGCTTTCTTCGGGAGGGCGTGAATGGCATCCTGAGAGGCTGGGGGCGCAGCAGTGCGGTCCCCATTCTGCTCCGCTAGTTGTGATATTATCCGGTCTAGCTCTTCCTGGGAGTATACTGCATCGCCGCTGCGCATGCTTAAGAGTGTAGAAATGAGCTGCCCTATAGGCGCTCCGCCTCCAGTCACAACACGCACATGGGGCCCACCGGGGCCAGTTTGCGTGTTGGCGAGGTTGGACTGAAACAATTGAAGAATACTACAGTAGTGGGTTAGATGAAAGGCCTGTCTTTTTAAATATTTGTGGTAAACTTACTCTGACAAACTCCGCAATGGGTTGTCCATGGGCTGGGGCCCATCTGCATCACGGGGAAACAGTCCCGTATGCGGCTGGTTGTGGCCTGTCCGGTTGCCTGCTCCATACATATCATCGAATGGTGAGCTAGGCCCATGGCCACGCGCAGCCCGTTCTCGGTTTATTCCAGCAGTTTCCCGGTTGAGTTCGGAAATACCGTGAAAGAACGAGTCCAAGCCATCCATCGCGGGGCCGGAACCCATCCCTCTTTGTACACCAGGTACTCTGCGAGGTGGCATGCTGTGTGCTGAGAAAGAGAACTGGAGGTTACCGCCGGGAGACCGGTAAGTTCTCTGGGTATAGCGGTAGCCAGGACCTCCGTCCCATCCATGCATACCATTGTCTCTCCCAGGGTCCATGCGGACCCATGGGTTGTGGTCAGTCCAAGGATTGACTGGCGGAGGGGATGGCGAGCGGTCGCCAGGGAAGGTCTCGGGGGGGTCGGGGTGTGAGAGTTCGGGTTCGGGGTCCGTGTCGGGAGGAATTTCAATCTGCGCGCGTGAATATAGTTCATTGAACAAAGTCAGATTCGGAATACAAACGATTTCAGTAAAATCGGAGCCGCAGTGCGGGCACTCCAGGCTGTCATGCAGGCGGCGGGGCCATACTCGACCGCAGGCGTGACACTGAACGCGATCGTCGGTATCCATGATGTTGAAGTGCGGAGTAGAGGTCAGATGAGAGAGATTAGAGTGACAGAATATAACCCGATGGAAAAACTAAGGCAAGGACCAGGGAGGAGGGGTCGAATGCGATACTTGAATGAAACCAATCAGTCAAGCAATAAAGGCGCTGTTCATGATTTGAAAGACTGGCAGGCACCAGCGGATATGATCATTTTGCACCGCAAAGAAGCGTCAGAGATCTCAAAGAAGCAAGAGGCGGATTAATATACACAAGGCAGATCAGGCCTTTCACAAACTGATGCTGTGAACAAGAAGATGAGACGGCAGATAAGATTGCCTGACTCGTCCAGCTGTGACTTGGATGACGTTAGCCTCGGCTGCTGTGGCGCAGTCCATAAGGAGCCTTGTGCAGTGCCTTATTCACACTTTCCTTGGGTGACACAAATGATTTATTATTCGATGATAAACGGGTGAATAAAAATTAGAATTATATTCCAATCTCGGGGTCATTTCTTCTCCCGCCGAGAACGCCTAAAGTATGTATGACATGCTAAGAGCCCAGACAAACACTCACGGTCCAACGCAAAAAAAAAAAAAAAAAATAAAACAAAGCACAAACACAAAGAGAAGCGTGAGAGCAGAGAGGGAGAGAGACGGATATCATCGTCAACATCATCATGTATATACAGCTCCGCCACCTAAGTATATCCGTTTGCTTATCGCCGCTGCCCACGGAACAGCATTCCACCTACTACGCCGGCAGCGAGGGCCAGCCCTCCGACAATAGCGATCCCCACCATTCCTTCACGAGACACCTTGTCATCGATCAAGGTCCGTAGACTGGCCGCCTGCAGATTTCCCGGTTCCTTGTCAATGAGAAGGTCGTTGTAGCGGCGGGCCTCTCCATAGTTGCCCAGTTTGTAGTTGCCCAGCGCCAGATAAAAGAGGCATTCGCGACGTCGTTCGGGGTGAGCACGGAAGATCTCAGATAGTAAACGGACACCTTCTTGTTGTTCGGTTCGAGAGTTGGATTTGATTAAACCCTGCTTTGTCAGTAGGATTCAGGCACCCTTTGCAGAGAGGGGCATACCCAGGCGTAGTTGAACTTGGTTTGGACACCGACGTAGTCGCCTTCCTTTTCATACTGCGCGCGCAGGACCTGAAGCTCCGCTGGTTTTAGCGGGCTATTTTCAGTTAGTTACTGCCCATGGCTTGTTAAAGCGGAGAGAAGAGACCTTTCAGCATCAGCGGCATCTGGATTTGGTCAGTAAACAACACACGCTCTGGAGCAGCTCGGAACACGTACAAGGAAGGTTTGAAGAAGTCATATTGTTTTCAGAATACCAGACCAGAGCTTTTAGCGGCTTAAAAGTCTAGGTATGAGCTATCGTGAGTGATGTCAGGAAAACAGGCAGTTTCATAATTCGCAAATGACGAGGCGGTGCACGTGGAGTTGTGGCGGTTGCCCTCCCAACGGTATCGGCAATACCAAATTCAATACATCCCCTCCATGTCATCGAAAAGCTTCATCTCTTTTTGTGGTCAACAATAGAAACGATTATTAACGAAGTCACGATGTTGCTCGACGAGAATCCCTCTACAGTAAGGACTTCCACGCGTATTAACTAATTAAATACTGACGTCTCAGCTTATCCATCACACAATCGGCAACTTTAACATCGCGCCCGACAAACAAGCCGTCTCCCGCATCAATGACTCCCTTGCGACACTCCAACAGTCTCGCGATCTTCGCATGCGCGAGGCCGAGTCCGCCTTGCGAAAGCTCTCGCGTCACCTCCAGTCGTTAAACACCCAACATGATGAGGCCGTTACCGCCCACGATGCAAGTAAACACTCTACTGCCATGGTCGAGCTAGACACGAAGAAATTCCGAGTTGCAAAGGCTGCATCCGAGCTAGAAATTGAGAGCGAGCGGCTAGAGAGCGAACTGGAGATGCTGAAGGAGCGGCTGGCGGATCTGGAAGCGCAGGGTATTGAAGGCGATGAGCCGACGCGGAGAGAGAGGGAGGCCGACGACGCCATTCTGTATGTTTTTTTTTTATAAATAGGCATGATCTTTGCTAACAGTAACAGGCTACGTTTGAAGATCTACCGCGCGATGGGCATTGACATTGAGCCCGATGAGGCGGGAAACTTCACCAAGGCTGTCATCCGCAACAGCCGCAAGGCCGACGTTCACGTCGTCAACCTCGATCCGAAGTTCTCGCGCTTCTTCTATTCGAACTATTTCTGGTCAACTATGCAGGGCTAAGCACGTTTATTTGGCGTTACGGTGTAGGACAGATACCCAATTGATTATTTTACTATATATACATTACCTGAGGGATATCATACATATCATCTTTGTAATAACATACACTGGCAGAGCCAGGTTAGCTCGATAACAAACCTCTAGCCACCGCATCTCTCTCCCCTTCCGAGATCATTATCGGCCTCGTGCCGGGCAAAATCCTCTCCACGGCATCTAATAACTCCTCATCCGAGATGCTTCCCAGCCCTGTCCGCTCCCACTTCGCCATCCACTCATCCTCCAACAGCCTCATCCCCTCCTCAACCTCGTCCATCGCCTGCACCTCCGTCCCATCCCACGTTAACCTAGCTTTTCCTTTCCCATACCCATGCCCATCACTATCCTCTCCTGCATCGGCAGGATAGAAAACCTCAACACCCAGACCACCAAGCCCCAATCCCTCCACCCTCCCATTCCACAAAACCTGCCTCACACTCCCCTCCCGCCCCATCATAATCCAAACGAGCGGCATTCCACTCCTCCCCAGCGCCTCACGCACCCCCTTCGTCGCCTCTCGCGGGCTAACAAGCACGCCCGCACCGACGCCCCCGCTCGGTGCAAAATGCCGCGCCGTGACCCCCTCCAATTCTCGCACAATATTCGGCCCAATCTTTGTCTTCAACGCCTTGCATTGTACTATTACCCGGACTGGCGGGTCAAGCACTTGATTTGGCCCGACGTGCCATGTTCCTTGCAGATCGATGCCTAGGTCTGAGCGTCCACCGACGCGGTGGAGATTGAAGGCAGCGGTTCGAAGATGGGATTGCACGACATATTCATAAATTGTGCCTTGGTATGTTGTCGTTGATTCGGGAAGGGCGGTGCGCTGGGCGTAAGAGAGAAAAGAGGGGAGATCGGTGTGTGAGGGGGAGGGATTTGCGGGGGGAGTTGGGAGTTGGAAAAGGCGGCGGGTGAGAGGGGTGATGGATCGTTTAGTTGCGATTTGAGGCGAAAGCGGGAGTGAGAGGAGGGGGTGAGTGGGTTTCATTTCTCGGCATTTTAGGATTAGATACAGTATTATTTTGAGTTTTGATTGTTGTTGTTGCTGTACCAAATGATGCAGTTGTTGGAGCTCCAGGGCGGTGTACCCAAGTCCGACTCCAATTTATGACGATCGCATCTGATAAGGCGGACCACTTTAGCTTCATCTCAATCTCATCCTTCACGTTCACGCACTTCAAGTCCTGTATACAATCCCGCTCTTCACTCAAGCTATCAGGCGGCCAAATAAAAATGGCAGACATACTCACACAACTCCAAACATGTCTTGACCAGGTACCTACCTACGTCGGCCCCTCTCCCTCTCCAGCAACAAAACTAACACCCATCACAGCTCGCAACCCAATTCTACGCAACAATCGGCTACTTAACAACTTACCACGACAATTCCCCCGCAACTACACCCCAGAACCCAACGTCTGCACCCGCCCTCGCCAAAATCCAAAAGAACTCAACCAACCCACCCATCGCCGCCAGCGCAGCCGCAATCCTCAACAGTTCCACATCACAAGCGTCTCCCTCCGGCGGGCCCGGAGGACCAGGCGCAGCAACAACTCCGGGGCCAAATCCTAGTAATATCGGAGGTGAAGCCGCAGGAGCTGTGGGGGAAGAAGGACTACCGCCGCGGCCAGACTCACCAAGGACTTTTGCAGCAAGGCAGAGGGAGTTGGCGCGCGATCTGGTTATTAAGGAGCAGCAGATTGAGTACTTGATTTCGGTGCTTCCGGGGATTGGGTCGAGTGAGGCGGAGCAAGAGAAGCGGATAAGGGAGTTGGAGAGGGAGCTGAGGGGGGTCGAGGAGGAGAGGCAGCGAAGGGTGAAGGAGTTGAGGGTGCTGCGTAAGAGGGTGGAAGGGGTTTTGGGCGCTGTGGATAATGGTATCTATGGAGCGCCAAAATGATTAAAGTTCATTTCTTCAATAATACATTCTACGAAGGGTCACTCTTGCCTATACTTTTTTTCGCTCTCCGTAGATTGGAATCGGATTATCATTAGCTAGATATGCCATTGACTTGCGTCGTCTCGTCTCTCTTTATGGTTCTAAGTCCATGATGCAAAATATCAACCAAATGGTGAGTGGGAATAACAAAAAATAAAAACTTTGGGTATCAATATGAAGAAGCCAAACCAAGCCCAACCTGCGCAAAAGAAAACAAAATCAATGAATATATAATGTGATGCATCACTTGAATAAACTGCGGTATTCTCTCATTCTCTTCTCTTGAACCTCCGATTTATCAAGTTTTCCCCGGTTCAAACTCATATCCGCTAACTGTTGCTTCTTTTTCGCCAGCTCGGCGATCTTCTCTTCTATACTTTCTTTCATGATGAATTGAACTGTCGTCACTTCGCGCGTCTGCCCGAGTCGGTGCACTCGGTCAATGGCTTGTGCCACCGCGGCCGGGTTGTATTGCGGCTCCATTACGTACACGTGAGATGCGGCAGTCAAGTTGAGCCCAACACCGCCGGCTCCAATTGTTGCCAAAAGAATTGTTATGTCGTTGTCGTCGCGAAAAGTATCTAGCGCCTTGTTACGCGCTGCTAGAGTCATCGTTCCGTCGAGGCGCGTATATCCAGTCAGCCCTCGGTCTCGGAGCGCAATTTCAATCAGATCCAAATGCGACGTCCATGCGGAAAATACCACGCTTTTGAGTGGCGGTTCGCCCTCAGGAAGTTGTGCGCTCTCCTCTGCCGTGGAGACAAGATGTGAAAGGAGGGCGTTGGTCTTCGTATGCGGGCCTTCGTACTCGCCTAGAACTTTTGCTTGCTTTCGGCTTTGTTTTGCCCGAGCCTGTTCCATTACGTACTCCTGTAGGCCATTTGCCGTTATTTTCGAGTACGAAGCCGGGATCCAACCGTCGCAGACATTGCACCTTATATCGAAAGAGTCCGGGCCTCCAACTTGATTATCGAACGCTTGCTTCCAGGATGAAAAACACTCCGCACACAAAACATCCAAACAAGGAAGCACAATGGCCATTATATCGGTCTTTCCGGGGTTGGAAGCCCCGTTTGTGTCGGAATTTGGTTCCTCCAAGCGCCTACTGCAAAGGGCACATGTGTCCGCAGATGACTCTTGCATCAAGGTGAACATTTCGTATGCCTTCTTGTCAGTTGCACCCGCGCCTTCACTAGGCCCCTCCTCAAGGTCAATAGCGTCGTGCACGCTCAGCCCCTTGATCCGCGCTCGCTCATCGCTATCAAGCAACTCCTTACCATGAGCGCTGATCTGACGAAGAATCATCATAGCCTTCAAGATATGATGATACATTCGTCCCTTCATCTGAGTTTTGTCTTCGCCAGCAATTACCCGCATCATGACGTTCGATTCTTTCCGGAAGAATTCGTGCAACTGTTTCTCGGGCTCAGTGAAGTCGAGCATCACAATTTTATCATGTCGTGGCGGCAGATCAATCTTGTCCTTAACGCGCCGGAGGGTGAATGAATCGACCAGGACACGCAGACTAGCAAGCACTGTCGTATCTCCTGTTTTGAACCTACTCAAGATGTGCATGCCGAATCGGCCCCTGTCGTCATACGGGTAAAGACCCAAAAACTTGGTGACAGAGAGAAGATCTTCTAATCGGTTTTGTATCGGAGTGCCCGTTACTGACCAGCGCCGCTGGGAGTGCAACCTGAATATTGCCTGTGTTTGAGCCGCGGTCTGCTCTCGAATCGTGTGAGCCTCATCCAGGACAATACGAAACATATTCATTTTTGTCAATGGGCTGGCTCCAGCCCGCTTCGAGCCACGACCGGAAAGTTCGCTGAGGACAATGCTGTACGTTGTAATCACCAGGTCGTATTTGGAGAGCTCATCAACACTGGTAGTTCGGGAAGAACCATGAAAAACGTATGACGAAACTGAATCTGCCTGCAAATGCTCTTTAATTTGCGTAACCCAGTTATTGACGGTGCTCAGAGGGACCACAAGAAGGGTTGTCTTCGTGTTCCGAATGCCCGGCCGGCTCTTCACCAGTTCGGGCGGCGGGATCATGCTTGCCCACTCCTGGGACTCCGTGAGCGTGGAAACAACCAAAGACAGGATGCTTAGGGTCTTTCCCAGACCCATCATATCGGCCAACAATCCGCCCAAGCTTTGCGGTGGCTCCTGATCAACAGTTGTGCCGCTAATAACCTCTCGGAATATCTTGGCCCCATTGGCACGATGTTCTAGCCTCCAGAGAGAATTATTGTCCTCCTCCTTGGGCCCAAATTTGCGAGGACGTTCTTTCTCAGTCATAAACCACAAAGCTTGCTTCTGGTGCCGGAGCAATGGCGTTGTAACAAGCGATGGGGGTTCCCTTTCAGGAATGTTGTCGGCACTTTGGAGTTGATCAAACATTTTCATAACCGCGTCGGTCACTTCCTCGGCCGACCGCACTTCATAATTGACCTGTGTCCGATTCCGCGGTGTTCCTGTTGGCGTCCAGTTCGGCTGCAGGCGCCTCCTCTCGGCGTGCGGGTTAAAAACAGGAACACCTTGCTCAACAGAAAACGGGGCAGCAAGCCAAACGTTGTGTTGGCCAAGATAATTGCCAACCCTTTCCGCATCCTGGCGGAGACCATATAGATTGATTGATGCTCGAAAGTTCGATGAGCAAGGACTCCATGGCACTTCTAGAGGTAGCTTTTTGCGCAAATCCAGACGAGCAGTAATTTCCACCTTCAAAGCTGGGGAGTCCAGCAGAGGTACAATCACCGCAGCAGTCTTTGAATCGACAACACCAAAAACTTTCTCATGCGGATCCGAAACCTCAATTCGATTGTTTCCCTGGCCCGCTTGTCGAAGAACTCCCAACTTCATCGATGGCCAGTATGACGAGTCTCCTAAAATCGTCTGCGGCGCCGGCATAGGAATCAACGATGCCTGGATTGTCGCATTTTCCAACTTTCCATAGCAAACTCTCTGGACACTCAAGTTATTGGATCCGGTAACTTGAAGATCGTCGTCGTCGTTATTCGCCGAAGCATCTAATGTCCAAAATGATTAGCATGCAGCCCTTTTGAGGTTTTTCCGCAGGCAGCTCCTTACCAAGAGTCAGATCGACAACGTCTGGCGTTATCGCAGTGGAACTGGACGTCTCCCCGTCGTTTTCTTTCATGTATTCCCCTAGGCCAGAATTGCCCGCAATAGGTCCTCGCTTCGTTTTCTCGTTATTATCGTTATCCATTTTGATGCGCTTGTAGGGCGTTCCTGTCCGTCGCTCCACCCCATACATGTTTTCGATTAGGTTGCCGTGCCTCAAGCCGGCATCATCGTCCAAATCTACCAAATCCACGCTTCGTTTCCCGTCGCTGAAGTCTATATCGGATGCATTCGTAAACTCGAAATCCAGGTCCGGCATCATGGTACTCGGGGGTTGCGGAGAGGAACTGGCGCTCGTCGAGCCAGTCGACGAAGGGTACTGAGAGCGCATGGGACTCGCGCGATGAGCGGAAGGTGGGCGTTGCGGACTTAGCAAATGGTGTGCGACAGATTGCGGCGCAACAGGCGAGGCGGCGCCGCGCTGCTGATGGTTCATGTTTTGCTGACCTGTTTCTTGATGTGAGCCTTCCGAGTCGACGTCGCGGGGTCCATTCGCAGGAGTGGTGGGCTGTTGTATCGGGGAGGAGAGGGAAGAAGAGGGTTCATGTTGGGTATCGGGGCCAAAGTCCGAATCATGTGAGGGCTCTGGCAAAAATTGGAGACCAGCATTCAGATCCTCACCATTTTTGGGAATTTGCTTTTTATAAGCCCTCGGGTTAAGAAGCATATGAGCGTGAGAGGCCATTGGGGTTTCATCCGTCCCTTCTCGGAAGGGATAGGAGGGACTCGATGAAGTGGAGGGATGACGAGGTGGCAAGGAAAGAGAAACGATCTAAGCGTGGGGATTCTATCGCAACGACGCAGATCGCCGGAAGGAAGAAAGAGGAGGAAGGTGAGACACGGAAGAAGAAAGGAAAAGGAGGAGAAGAGAGCGAGAAAACGAGGTCGCGATCAGTCCTGCTGCCTCGACGGTGATGTCGCCAAGAGAAGATTCCGATAGTGAGACCAAGATAAGATATCCGCAGGCGGCACGACATCATCGCCGGCTCGGAATGGCCTCACTACCAGCAAACCCTGCGGAGCTTCACTCTGGCCTCACGACCTCTCAAAACAAGTCTCATTTTCTTCCTAATTTCGAGACATCTCCAACTTACAGGAAAAATGGCGAGATTCCTCCGGGGACCATGATAATTAGTAAAGAAGCTAGCTATACGTCTATATACAATACAACATTGGGGTGGTAATTCCCAGCCAAAAGCCACTCCTCGTAGCTAAGAGACTCCTCATGCCTGTTTGCCGCAACAAGGACGCTAAATAAAAATAAGATGAAAGGAATATAAAGTCATGATGAGGGTAGGGGTGGAGGTGAAGAAAGAGAAAGAGTCATGCAAGCGAACTAACTGTCGCATCTAGTATAACAACTCAGACAGGGTAAATTGTGGCAGAGAAAGCAAAAGTAAAGCGTTAGCACCACGTAAAAACAGGGTTTTTACTCTTGACAGCCTCTAATCGTTCAACAATAACTTTGCGCTGGTTTCCTTCCATGCCCTCGGCGGCGGCATAACCGAGGTCGCCTTCCAAATCGTCACTGCTCCAGATAATTTGACCTCGTGCGTCGGAGAGGGAACTGTGTTTCTGATGTTTGTTACCAGGTCTGGGTGGAAGTGACGGCCAGTTTGCGTCACCATTCTTCCTTGAACTAGACGCATCAGTACTGCCGCGGCTAAGCCCATAGTCTGTGGTGCTGGCTGTTTGAGGGCGTCCAGAATCCTGAGATCCACGGGCGCGGTTGAGTTCAAACCGATTTGGGTTAGGAAGGTCGCTCGGGGGGGACGCAAATCCCATCAAGTCCTGATCAGCCATAGCAGCGCCAATATCCATTTCTTCGTTGTCGGGGTCGTAGCGGTCGTCGTAAGTTCTGACCTTACGTCGCTGGGCTTCCGTTGACGGTCCACGAAGAGGGATGGCAACAGGGACATCTACCAGGTCGTCCCAAACACAAACGCGGGTTCTCCGCGTAAGCTCAAGCGGGCCATGATCAGAGTGTTTTAGTGTTTCCACTACGTTCCACGCTTGGCCCTTCATGACGGCAATCTGTCTCGCAAACATGCTCTCTTTGAAATCATCGTCTTGCGAAAACACACGTCGCAAAGCCATCTGAGTGCCACTCCACCAGGCGGTCGAGGTTAATAATGGCAGGAAATGGTCTCGAGTCCTCTTAGAGAATGGCTGCCCGATCAGAGAAACCGGCAAAAACAACCAGCCAAAGGGGAAACTACGCCACTGAAGAAATTGTTAGCAAAAAAACAACGGCTACATAGTAGGTAATAGTGTACGCACAGCATCGGGATGTTTCCATGGCCACGACAAACTATTGTCGATGGCTCCAATTTGGATAGTCGCCGGAGCCTCCTGGGCATTCAAGGGCGTTCCCGTGCGGCTCACAGCCTGCATCGTCTCGTGTCGTCGATAGGGGTATGAAGGTGAGCGTGGTTTGTCCGAGTTGACTGAGACCGGCCGTGGGGGTACCAAGTAATCGTCGTCGTCCTGTTGGGTTTCATTTTGGTTTTGCTTCGGAGGCTCTGCAACGATCGAGACATCCTCAGTCTTCCAATCAATCTTGATCATCCAGTTGTCCAAACCACGATCCGTATTCCGCATGATGTAGTCCAGAATAACTAGCTTTTCCAGCTCTTCTCGGAAAGATTGTTTGAGTGTTTCGGTCCAGTAAAACCGCCGTTCCTGGCTTTCTTCTTGTGGGGATGGCGTGCGAGCATAGTCTTCCATGTCGTCTTCCTCATCTTCATCGTCGGACTGTATCCCAGACGGTCGGCATGCCTCATTCCAAGGCCGTTTCTTGCGTCTCGGCGCGTCCTCGGCACGGAAACCGGTATTTGTCTGATCGGGCCACGGGTGCTCTCTGAGGAAGAGGTTGGCATCTCTGTATCCCTTAAGGAAAACCTGAAAACTGCCAGCCTTATGAGGGAGGGATTTCTTGCCCATCCAAGCCTTTCTTCGATCCCAGAAATCGTAATAAAACGACTTGGAAGACAACCACACTATATCGGTATAAGGGACCATGTTGGTACGGAGACGAGAGTCGAGCACATAGGCAGCCGCTTCGGAGACGTAGGAGAGGTTAGGAATCAAGCAGGCACGGCCAAAGAAACAAGGGAATAGATTGCGATGTATCCACTTGGTCCATTTGGGATTTCGCGACGCATAAGGCTCTTCATCCTTGGGTTTGAAAACCCCGACAACTTTGCCTTCGCCATTGCGTGCAAAGTAACTCCCCGAACTGCCTTGGGAAATCATGCGCGGGTGAACTCCCAGTTCTATGGCCAACCGCACACTCTCCACAACCTCCTCGAATCCATCTCGAGCCTTCCTTGTAGCAGTTTCGGCCTCCTCCGAGTCCAATTCCTCAGCCGTGATCGGTTGGATACCAGGCGGAGGCTGGAAAACAGAGTGATAGATCTCCAGCTTCTCCTCCTCCAGTGTCTTTCCTTTTACACGGTGGATCTTAAATTTCGAGGCAAACTCCTCCGCCCAGCGCTCAAGACGTGCATTGATCGCCTTAATATCCACAGCCGAGTTGCGCCGCCCTCGACGATGGTGCCCGCTCGATCTCCGTCGGGGCTCCGGGGGTGTCCCTGACCCGGGCGGCATCGAGCCTCGAGTCGAAATGGGTTCATATTGTGTACCATAGGGATTGGCTGTGCTGGAAGTGTTGTACAATTCATCGTCGTCCGAATATTCGTAGGGGTCGTTATGTCTATCCTCCTCCTCCTGGGCCAAACGGGCATAACCAGACGTCGCAGGTCGATTGTTCTTCGGCATAATTCTATCGAATAAAAAATATAGTTTGTAAAAAGGTGTAAATGAATGGCGAGAAGACGAAGCCGCGAATTAAGAGGGAAGTAAAAAGGACAAATGACAATTCTTCAAGGCATTACCATTACACCGGTGCTGGGTTCGAATCCGGGGTATAAAAAAGGGGATGGACGAGAAGGCGGTCGTAGGGGACGAAAAAGCGAAGGCGATGCGTGGAGAATATGCGGAAGACAAATATCAACAACGGAGGAAAGGAAAACCAGTAGTTGAGACCGACTCCGTCATCTAGTTCGTGGTCGTGGTGTTCAGCAAAAATGAAGACAACTGACAGGGAGGCGAGAACCGGCACGTCCACGTCTCACTATGAAGGACTGCCCAGGTGGCTTCGGCCTCGGTGGGAACTGGAACGGGAGATTAGTGTGGTACTGTATTATACCGTATTTAAACTAGGCGGCGATAATTCTACGGTTTGTGAGTGGCCAGAAGATGGCTTACAGAAAGGGATTGTCACAATATTACAGGATTTCCATGGCGCACCGCCACAAATCTCATGCCAGGCGCTCCACCAAAGCTTCATCGCACCAAAAACAGAAACAAGCAAAAAAATAACACCTTGACTTTTCTAGACGCCCCTGAAAACGATCTCCGTCTCGAACCGTCGACGTGCCAGAGCGACTCTCCTGGGTTTGTCTTTAAAGTCTGATGATTTTCAACCTTTCTACATTATTTTACAGTGCAGATTATCCAGGAAATTCAATACCAGTGCCATTCTCCAGCCACTGAATAAACGCCATTATTTACTAGGATCAATCAAATGCTCAAACCCAACTTTAGCCGCGATTAGTGCGCCGGCTGTGCAATCATGAAACCAGAGAAGAATCGATCCACCGCATCATAATCCTCCAAGGGTCCAACGTACGAGACATACTGGTCCGGCCGCAGGACAACGAGACACCCCTTGTTCGGGTCTATCCCGAAAGTCTCGTACAGTTGCCCGTGGCCCTCATGGTAGGAGAGGTCATCCACGAATATCTTTTCGTAGTCCCAGCCGTCAATTTCATCGTACGGACGGAACACCTCGGGGAAATCAAAAATGTCCACTGCATTGCGTGGCCCGGCATGCACGGTGAGAACCTCAATGACGGAGTCGTAGCGCGCTCCCGTTGGTTTGTAGCGCTGCAGGAACGAGCCTTTGCTTCCAAGTGCAGCTCCTAAACGCTCAATCTTCTCCTTCTGGGGCTGATTGGTCACATCGCCAGCAAACACCATGACGCGCCAGCGCCCGTTACTAGGCAGTCGTTCCTGGATATGCCAGGGTCGCGCATCGGCCTGACTCAGGACCTTCACGCTAGGCATTCTCTTGCCAATTTTGACCTCCGGTGCAAGCTCTTGTACACTGACTACAGGGTTAGATTCCGATTCTTTCGCAACGATCATACTCGAGCAGTAATCGACGGCTGGAGGCAACGCGTCAGCTGTGGCTTCTATATTGTGGGAGGGGGTGAAGGTGCACGTACCAATACCACTGGCAAATAGGTTACCTTTCTCGAATGCATCTTTGAAGGCGTCCATGCTGATTCCCTCCGCGTCCATGATGTCGCGGGCAGGGCGACCAGAGAATAGTCTAGAGAATCGGTGGTCAAACGCAATGAGATCCTGAGCAATTTTCCTCCTCTCCATTTCGTATGTCTTGAGGATGGAGCGGTGGGAATGCCCTTTGACAACGCTTGCAATTTTCCAACCTAGGTTATACGCTTCTCGACTGTCAGTCAAACTGATGGTCTCTGCTGTATGCGGATGGCACTACGTACAGTCTTGCATGCTCACGTTCATACCCTGGCCGGCCTTGGGACTACGAACAAGTCAACACCAGATCCGGGCTCTCTTTAGAGAAAGTGACTCACCTATGTGTGTGGACAGCGTCTCCCGCTAGGAAAATCCGCTCGTGGGCGGAGAACTGGGTGCCCACGCGCTGTCCAATTTGATAAGCTGTCCACCAATCCAGCCTGCGGTATGAAATCTTATACGGCGCCATAATCTTCTGGGCAGCGCCCAAGATAACGTCGGGGTTAATCTTGGACCTATCAGCCCTCTGGCCGCCATTGTATGCCGCTGTCGTCAGCTGGATGTACAATCGCACGAGCTTGTTCTCTCGGGGAATAACCATGACGCTACCCGAATCCGCAGAATGAATAGCGCAGCGCATGCGGATATCCGGGAAATCGGTAATTGGCACGATATCTAAGACACCCCAAATGTAATCGGTGGATTCTCCCTCAAGGGCAAATCCAAGCTGCTGGCGCACCCATGAGTGTGCCCCATCTGCACCGAGCATATACTTAGCCTTGACAACTTCCTCTGTATTGGCCTTTGCGTCCAGCGCGCTAGCCCTAATTAGTTCCGCTGTATCGTCAGCCGAGAGATTGCTCCGGAAAAGACCGTCCTGAATAGCTGAGCCGTTGACAGATGTCCCCGTTTGCTGTGGGGTTGCTTCAGCCTCCGAGAGATGGCGGAGATGTACGGTGACCGGGTAAGCATCTGATGAATCAAGGAGAGATTCGTCGAGTTCCAACTTTGTGGGTAATACGCCGCGTTCCACATGAAGGCCGCCACAACTCTCCATATGATCGAGGAAGAAGCGCTCAATCCTGCCTTGATGAAGGACGACCTGTTGGAATCGACTGATCCCTGGAATGGTGTCAGGGATCCGGGCACTGCGCTGGATTTTGCCGTTCGAGTCTGGGTTCCAAAGGCAGATTTCGAGCATATGGTTCGACTCCTTCCATGCACGGTCACCAAAGCCAAAGGAATCGAAAATCTCCAAGGTCCGGCATTGCAACCCGTCTGCCTGGCCGTTGAAGACCTAATAACTGCGTCAATATCCCAACTTTCAAGGGAAAAAGAAATAAAAAAAATCATTTAAACATACCTTGGTCCCTCTTTTATCGACGATTCTCGTTTTCACTCCGCATTTCGCCAGCCAAGCCGCCAACATCAGGCCAGCAGGCCCGGCACCGACAATCAGCACATCGACGTAGGATTTGTCGTCACCAGTAGAACCCATTGTTGTAAGTTTCGTTTCGATGGGAATTCAGCTAATATCCTGGGTCAAATTTGAAGGACAGTGTCCTGGTTCTGCCAAGTGTTAACTACCAGGTCTTGGATTCCGAACACGGCATTCCTGACTTTATATCTTCGCTCTGCACTACAAAGGTACCTAGCAGCTCTGAGCCCTTGGCTCACGCCTATCCGATCCGAAATTCACTCCGATAAAATCACGCTTTGGTGACCGCACCCCAATCAGTAATTTCTACGGTTGCTGGAGGCTGATCCATTGAATCCATGTCCGACGAGCATCGGAACCCTGCACCAACATATAGGGCCCCGCAAGTATCGGGTGCTCGTCGGAAAGGTAAAGTTTCCATTGGACCGTCCAGCAAGGAATGGGATACTCGGGGCTTGGGGCACCTCTCGATTCAAAATGTACGTATAGGGAGATGGTGATTGGCGGGGGCTGGCTCTCCCTCGACTTCGCTACACCCGCTCACCCGGAGTAGACCAATACGCAGTGTTTGTCAGGTCAAGTGCTTCATGTACTCAGAACGTTGTCGGATAATGGATCGGGTATCATAAGCTTTCATCGGATAGGTATGCTATACCCAGTACAGGCGGCTCCATAGTTCAGGTCTTCACATGCGGGGTAAACCCCCATGGCGGGGATCCTAGGTCCCTGTATCAGCCCAAATTGCACCTGCGCTGACAGTTCTCATTGGAATAAATCATGGAAGCTAGCGTCATGACAGCACAAAATCCAGTTTGATTGCTGTGTTGACAGGCCGGGCGGATCCATCCCACATTGTTCATCCCACATCAGGTCCGACCTTAACTCAATCAATGGTCCAAGTGTATCTCAATAATAGAAGGCATGGCACTTCCGAATTCTGAATCTTCTGAAGCAACTGCCATTGATTTGGTGCCCTAAACCAAAGCATGGGGATCATTGACCGTCCCCGCTAGTCTCCAGGGACTGAAGCTTGGAAGGACATGTCCCAGGGTCCTTGGTGCTGCAAAGCAGCCGATGAACACTTTACAGTCGCTTCTGGTGCCTAGGATACGGACAGTACATGTGCATTTGAAAGGTAGAAATACTTCTTCGATCCATCTACCCTAAAGAGCAGATCGGTCCCTCAAAATAAAGTACACCGTACTCGACCACTGCGTTCCGATCAGCCCCCATAATAACCAGGACGAGGACCCTACCTTTTATCAGATAGGATGCATGGCAGCATGCAAGGCTCTCGCAGGTGGAGCGCTACTAAACCGGGCACAATGATGGATGTTGGTTTTCATCGGGGCTACTATGCAGGGGTGAAGTGCTCAGGACGTTCAGCCTCCGATAAGGGCTGGAAGATGGCGTGGATTATCGTGGATTATCGGCTGCGCCCTCGAAGCCAGCAGACCAAGCAGGTAACTGCCGCTGGTTTAACACATTTAAGGGCGAAGTAAAAGATCTGGGGCGAGCAGAACAAGGAGGGTTGTAAATGAGGCCAAGAAGGGTTCCACAGATCGTGATCAATAATCGTCGATAGTCTCCGGCGCGATAGCAGCCCCGATAGTGATACGTTTTAATCAATCACCCCGTCTATTGTCCCATCTCCTTCACAGATATCGTTTTAATATCGTTACCCTAATTGTTGTTTTCTTTTCCTGCCTCGCGGGATCAGTAGATTCTTCTCTACTTATTTCTTGCAGTATTGCACTGCAGACCGCGCCGATTTCGGTTCTTTTCGCTATCTATCGGCTTCGTCCAGATCTTTCTCCTTATCCTACCGAACGTCGAGAACGCAACGAGCACACTGCGTTCCTGGCTTTATTCTTTTTCTCGACCCATTATCCATACACATTTCTCTTCACTCCTCGTCGGACGCTGACTGGCGGGCGATATTGAGAGGACATTCCACTTCGCCCTCCCTTTTTGCGTGGCTGGACCCCCCTCGCGACAGACCCGAGATCTTTCCTCCTCCCTCGTCTTATGCAACACATCAAGAAAGAGGGCCAATTGACGTAAAGTTCCCTTATTCGGTCAACAGGGGCCGAGTTTCTAGCTGTTTACCCGCCACGACCACCATCGTGGCTTCGCTTCTCTTCAGGGCGTCGCCCATCGACCCGGCCCTTCGCCCTCCATCGCCCTCAAACTCCCAGTCGAACGATCTGGCCTATAACCCTTCGTCCTCCTCCATCGAGAGTCAGTCGGCAACGGATACAGCACAGGGCGTGTCGTCCGCATCGTCGCAGTACTCCACCACCCTTCCCGATCTCGCGTCGAGTTCACTAGAGAAAAGTTCTGAGGAGGGTACAAACAGTGCCAACGCATTCTCGAGCTCCCTTGGACAGTCGCTTCCTGGCCTGTCAGTTCTTGCATCGGTCGCGTCTGCACCGACTTCCAATCTACGGTGCGTACCCGACTCTTGGTCTAATCCTCGTCGCGATAAGCGCCGGGCGCGGTACGAATACATGCAGTGTCCGGTGTCTTGCCAATAAGGGATTTCTGCTTTCCAATTCCTTTTATTGCCTGTTATCAACGTTCGTTCAAAGCCCCAGCTAATGAGACCGATCGGATAGAACTTCAAGTAGCGATGCGCATTCAGGCATGGCTAGCATGACCTACGCGACATCGTCTCCCGCTGCTACTACTGGAGGACAAGGAAATAACCCTGTGAGTATATTTCTCCTCGTCCACTTATACGTGCTCTATATTTTGTAATTGCATTGCGTTGTTCCGCTTTGCGATCTCACTTTGCTTCTTTCGTGTCGGGTTTATTTTTTCACCCAATCTGTTATCAGCGGGCTTGGCAGCGCACCGAACCCGGCTCTTATCAAACCCATCAATAATCTCTCAATCTTATCAACCCTGCAATCTTCCTTCGTCCACTATCAGCGCCTATCTTCCCACGCAGCCCCCTCATCTTGTCTCTCCCCCTTCCTTTCCCCATTTCTTGTCTACTCTCTTAATTATTATGGAGAGCACGTTGGCTGATCAGAAGCGACCCCAATTACAGCCGATATGCCAGAATTGCGGCACTTCCAAGACTCCCTTGTGGCGTAGGGACGAACTCGGCTCGGTGCTTTGCAACGCCTGTGGCTTGTTTCTAAAGCTCCATGGCAGGCCGCGCCCTATCAGCCTCAAGACAGATGTCATTAAGAGCCGCAATCGAGTCAAAACTGCGGGCCAGGGCCCGAAGCGCAAAGTGAGTTCCCAGTAGGATTTTTTTTTTTTTTTCAGGGCCTCTCGATCCTTACCAAGGGTGCTTAAACGTCTCGGAACGGTCGCTAATACTTGAGTTATCTGCAATAGTCAGGCGCAGCTGATGGGAATGGACTGTCTTCCGCGAGATCGGAGGCGGGAACCCCTCCTTTGGGGTCGCAGGGATACCGTCGCGCATCGCGCAAGCTGTCCCCCGGCCACTCAGACCGATCAAACTCTCCAGTTCCTCGAACTGAAACGCCCGGACTTTCAGCCATGCAACATGCGCAATCTCATCACAACTCGAACATCGCGCCGCAGCATATGTTTGATAGTGTGACCATGGACCAGACCAGCCAGCTCCCGAGTTCGCTCCCATCTACCCAGATACGCCAGCCTTCTCCCACATCTGCGTCTGCGCCAGCGGACCGCCACCATGATTCTCCGCAAACGTATGAAGACCTGCTAGCGGCGAACACGTCCTTGAAGACTCGTGTTAGCGAGCTGGATCTCATCAATGGGCTCTTCAGAGGGCGCGTCGCGGAGCTTGAGCAGAGCGATGCAACTGCGCGCCGGTCTGAGATGATTCTCCGCGATTCTGAAGTACGTTTACGGCGGTCCCTCGACGAGTCCCAGCGGCGGGAGGAAGAAATGAAGCGACGCATATCCGAGTTGGAGCGTCAGCTTTCCGACCAGACCGGCGGAGGGAATCCCGCCCAAGAGAACCCTCTGGAGCCGTTGGCCAAGCGAATGAGGCTTTCCGATGTGGTGGAGCAATCCTCAAACTCAGCCAAATCGCCGAAGAGCATCTAGGCGCGGACTTTCAGGATCCAGGGACATTCTTCGTGAAATGAGCAGGTTGTCGATACAACCGCCAGCATGTCGCGAGTAACTTGGTCCTGTTACGTTTTTTGATACCCTTCGCGAATCTTGACATTGGCTACTTATATATCCGATCGAATTCTATCTACCTCTGTTTCGGTCCGCGTCCGAGTTGCTACCTTCGTTTTCATTTTTTGTGTTCTACGACTTGCTTGTTATAGAATCATGCAACCTTATTCTTAATTCTGATATGAAAATAACGGCCTAAAGCCTGGCCACAGGACGCAAAAAAAGCCTTTATCTCAACGACATGACAAAAAAGCCTTTTGAAATGGGGGAGCTAGAGGAGGAATGCTTCTGTTCAATGATTGTGTTTATAATTCCCAGAATTGATTGTCTGTTTCTATTTATGCGCATATCTTCTTTTACTCGTTTCGTCGGCTTTACCAGGTGATTGGCTGGAGATGGTACTCAGCCTGGGACCGTCTCTCCGCTAGGCGCCTGTGCTGCCCATCTACATCGTGAGACTCCTTATCAACCGGGCTGATGCGCTGGCATCGTGATAACCTATAACCGTCCAGCGGTGAAGCACCCACAGACCGGGGAAGTCCCAAGGCTGTGCATGCGAGTTTCTTCCACGGATATTCCTTTATTCCTCTTCAAACGTGTTCTTAGTAATATCTAACTAGTCATTGAACTTGCTCAATTCTATCCTGTTGGCGGGTGCCTTATTGTTTGCCTTGTTTCTTATCTTTCCCCTATCAGATGTCCCCTGCCGAGGTTCAAAGATATACTGGGGGCTTCGAGTTCCTTCGTGCTTCGACTGGGCTTCCCGAGAATCGACTGAGTTAATAGACCTCCGTATGTCGTAGTGTTTGGGACTGGCAATGAGAATCGTGTGCATTTTGAATTTTTATCCTAGTAAGGTTGGTGGTCATATATATCTTCATCGGCATTGGAGGACGGCAATTAGCGCATCCATGAAACCAAAACCAGTTATACTTGTGACGGGCCAAACCCCTTATTGATCGATCAATGCTTAAATAATTTTCAAGATATCGGTGAAGACAAACATCAACAATGTATAATGGATCGGGAAATCTATATGTTGTTGAGCCGAGGTATCCCGATATCCCGGTACTATATCTAGCTTCAGCCTCATCTTGTCAAAAAGTGAAGACCTTTTCAACAACATCCGGTGTGGTGTAATGGTTAACATCGCCGTCTCTCACACGGCAGCTCGGGGTTCGATTCCCCGCACCGGAATTGATTTTTCCTTTTTTGTTATTTTTTTTCGGAGCTGGTGGGCGCTTAGATTACGGTCTATGATCACAGCCGGCTCTGGCTCGCAATATTGCGGCGCGTCGTCCAAACCGAAGAGCAAGCTGGCGCCGGCTGCGTTCCAAATATGTTCCTCGAGACTCCAGCATGCAGGAAAGAAAAGGATTGGCGGATATCTGCAGTCACAGAATGACTGGCTCTAAAAGCTGCGCCACAATCAACAATTCGTCTCCGTGGCGCAACTGGTTAGCGCGTCTGACTGTTATGTCAGCTATACAGCTTGGCAGTTATCAGGAGGTTGTCAGTTCGAGCCTGACCGGGGACGCATTCTTTTTTTTTTTTTTTTTTTTTTTTTTTTCTTCGACCCTGGGCATCTAGCTGCTACTTCTGCTTCTTCTCTCTTTTCTTTCTTCCAGTACGGTGCGTACTTTTTTTGTTCTTGTAGCGTTGGCTCTCTCCAGTGCAAAACTGAATTAAGGGTGTGGCAATAACCTTAAAGTGTTAAACCTTAAAACCCTAACACGTGGCTGTCGTGACGAAAGCCAGCGCGGGAAATGGTCGTTCCTTCCTTTTTCTCGCCGAGCGCTTGGATGACGGAGTCGACTGTAGGTAGAGAAATATCTGACGAGCACTATTCCAAGCCCACCAATACCAAGAATATTAAACCCTATGGTCCTGATGGTCCTACTGATACTGGTCTTGATGAGAACCAACACTAAGGAAAGGAAGGGAAAGGAGGGGGCGGGGAGACAGTGTCGACCGTAATCGGGCATGTCAGGGCTCATGATTTGGAACACGCGCATTCCGCATTAGATGTTTAACACAAGTCGCACCTGCTTGTGTTATCTGCCGTTTCTTCCATGGACGTGTTGCCCCCAAAGCAATGACCGTCATCCTGTCTACCCCGTCGTTCTTAAGAGAAAACCAACACACGGACCCCTTTCTGACAAGGCATTCGACCACTACACCAAAATCCATATATGGACACTCTCTGTGCAGTTGATTCAAATAGCATCACCTACGGCAACCCCCAAATTGTCCACCATGGGGGAGACCGGACAACCCGTTTACCTGCCAGAACGTTTAGTTCAGAGGCGTAAGTTGCTGGCCGATTCGTCCATGGCCAATACTAACTTATTCCTTAGAATAAACGCAATTTTTTCTTCGATTCAACCCAGAAAGCTGCTGGAAGTTGGCTCGGGAGCAATTACCAGCAGGGCTGGCAAAGGAATATATCATTCAACAATTGTACCGCGAGTACAAGATATACTCTGATTTCGCTGTCGGAGGCCATTGGAAAGAGGAGCACCTCTTCCATATCGAGGCCGCGTTTACATGGTGCCTTCTTTATCAAATGAACCATCCCAAAGGTGATAAGGTAAAGGGACACTGGAAATCCCCCCCCAGCTGCAATACCCCAGTTGATGAGCTGCAACTCCCGACCAAATGGTCAGTGGACACCTTCTATACATGTCCCGCTTGGCCAGTCTGGACTCTCATTGTCGGTAAATCCGGGACCAAAGACTTCGCGGCTGAAAATACCGTATATGACCAACGTCTTTGGTTTTTATTTGGCCTCGACAATTGGGCGCCGAAAGAATCAGAGAGATCTTACAAGAAGGCCTAAACCCGGCCATCCCATCCATATGCCAGGGTGGGGTGTTTAACATAGAATCGTAAGTTACTGTTTAGTTCATCCATGGATTATGCTAAGCTTTCTAGAATGAATGACCTCGGAAAACATGCCGAAAACCCGGTACATTCAACAAAGGCAGGTGTATACCTGCATATCCTCGCCCCAAAATCCTGCCCGGGCAGGTTCTGGTTATATATTGGCCAGAGTGTTTGCCTTAGGGAGCGAATATATAGCCATAACTATAACCGGCTGAAAAAGGAGAGTTCATCTCTCCATTACTCTGTGTGGAATTCTGACGACATGGAGTCAACGTGGGTGGGCCTGTATACACACAAAGGCCGCCCGGATCTCCTCCCCAGACAGGAGCGACTGCTCCTAAACGTGGCAGAGATGTGGCCGTGCTGCATATTCCAAACATTAACGGGGCACCACCTGGACAAATACCTCCCTAATCATTATGAGAAGCCCTGGGCCGGCTGTCACCTTAACATAGCCTTACCCCTGCTGCAACCGTTCTCGGTAAAAGAGAAGGCGGAGGCCGAGGTTTTACAAAGTCAGGGGTCTTTCGCGGAATACGTTGCTGCCAACCCCGATGACCGGGAATGGGTAACGGACCTAAGTTCAGCGTTCCATGCCCTTAGGGATGCCCCGGACCCGGTCATTCGGGGGTATCATGTTGGAGATATCTGGCTGACCACCAGCTGTGCATGGCTTTTTGGTCTAGCGGTATAGCGCCTCGTTATATCATAAGGAAAGGCTAGGGGAGAGTTTGAAAGCAGCCCACGATGCCACGCAGCAAAAGGCAATAGAAAGCATGCGGCAGTACCTCTCAGGAAATGAGCGGGCGGTTGATGTCTTTACAACAACATCAGCAGCTGGGTTTAGTTGGGATAGGACCTCATTCACATGCGGTCAGTTTCAGTTTACTATCTCGGTAGACTTTAACCTGCATCTCAAGAAGGGTGATAAAGTTTTCGTCCAATTTCACCTAGCCGACAATGTTCACCCACTCAAGTACACTGCCAATGCCTTGCCGACTGATCCCGCCAGTAGACTGGCGATTTCCCTAACCGGACGGGATAGCACCAGCGAGTTTCACATATGGCTAACGACATCTGGGCCCAAGGCCATCAAAAGAATGAACACCCTTGTCGATATTTTAGAAGGATACTCGTACTCGGAAAGACAAGAGATGGCCCTTCCAGGGCGCTGGTGGGGTCACTGGAGGGCGGAAGGCAGTACAAACATACAGCAGCATTACACTTGAATATTACAAGCAAAGAGCACGAGAAAGGTTGACTGCTGATTACGGAGTAAGAGGTTATGGGTTATTATGTTGACATGGAATCACCAGTACTTGAAGTTTCTGTTGTGGGTAACTCTATCCATTGCCGTTTGTTTTCTGTTACCGACGAAGTTAAGTTCCAAGTATTGCTACTCCAGCATCTTTATAATATTCGTTTCTCCAAAGTTTTATGACCGGGTGACTTGTGCAGGGGCATGTATAGATTCTACATTCCTTGAATATTTATCAAATATGTAGTATAAAACATCCGGTCCCTGCAGTGTTTTCTTAGTAAGAGCTTCTTTAAATCACTGAATAATTATGATATATTGGCATAAAACACGCCGTAAAAACCATTATGTAGTATTAAGAGTAATAAAGAAAAATGCTATGTTGAATATAATTTCCAGCTCTTTCAGCAGTCGCTATACATAAGCCCTGCCAAATGGCCAAACCAAGGGGAATGGAAATAGTTTAGATTGAAAAGGGTTTAGAATACTTAGTTCTACTCCTTAACCGATAGTTACGATAGTTAGAGCCCACTATCAGTCATTAATCAAAGTAAACACCACCCTTAATCTGATGGATTATATACGGGAGGTGGTATGGTTTTCCATATATAGCTACCAACTAGTCCGAGTAGATTCCTATAAGTAGGCTAAGTTCCAGAATTTACCTTTAATATAATACCTTTAGAGAATCCCTATCCTTAGCTATCCCTCGCTGTATTGTCAATATTCGATTACCGGGGCAGTTAAATAGATAATACTACGTCTACATCTACGTCTACATCTACGTCTACATCTACTCCTACTCTACTCCTAATCTACTCCTACTCTACTCCTACTCTTATGTCTATATCTACTCTATCTGCTGTGTATACCCATCTTCTACTACTTCTTTTACCCCTATATTGTCTTCTATCCCATCTTTCTATTTCATCGTGTCTCTTACTTTCTGGATGTTACTCATTACCCATCCTCAAGAAGTGTTGTTTCATAGCTTCATAGTATTTAGGTCTTCAAGCTAAGATGATAAATATAAGTTTTTAGAAGTCCATATCAAAATAGGCATAACTAAATTGGCTATTTCAGTCCCTTAAATTATGCCTTCTTGTGTTGTTAATATTGAAAGGCTAAAGCCAGCTTCTTGTGGCCTATAAAAAGCACAAAAAATATATCCGACAATCGGTATAATAGTCGAGTACTGTTGTAAGGAGCTCCCCGTCATGATATTCTACTTGCGTTACTAAAACTCTGTCTAAAGCAACCATCTACCGGCTACCAGTGTTGATTATCGGAGGTTTCCAATATTGATATTTCATAAAGAAACGTTTCTAAGGTCTTTCGGTCCAACCCTCTAAAAGTATGAAGCTCGGCTGACCAAGCCTAACTTGAGAAGTTTCCATTTGCTTCGCGCATTTCTTTCACTCAGCATACCTTAGACATCCCCTTATCTACTTATAAAAGCGGCCCAGGCATTTTTTTTAGTGACCAGGATCTAAAAATATGGAAATATTCACACGAAAACAGCGCCACTGATGACTACCTATACTATTCTGACAGCCGGAGAATTAGTTAGTATTAGCCGTTAGTTAGGTCTCAAGGAGGGTTGGCCCTTTTTAGTGCAGGGGCAAAATCCGGTTGTATTTCTATATCCTCCGCGCCTAGGTAGACATCATTTGTTTCTAACTAGGAATCTGGTACACAAAGCCCGTTCCAATACATTCCAAAGGCGTGCTACTTCGGTTGAAGCAATAGTCATAGAGGTTAGTAGGCCACGGTACTAGTTGCTGGATGAAGATCCTTTGGGCCTCAATAGAGAGGCTGACGAAGATGCAGCCTGTAATATCATCGACGGACCTGTGGAGGATTTAAGTCGTGCAAATGAATACTAAGGGGTTAATAAAGCCGGTAATATTTGATACTTTGATCCTGTCTATAGTATGCCTCAAAGTCGAGGAGGAGCAAGACCCCACTAAATTGAAAAGTTGTTTTATAAAGTGCCTCATGTTTAACAGTGCTACTGTCTCTAGTTTACTTTACCTAGCCAAGTATTATCCAGGACTTAGTCTTCTATATAGACGACATGGAAATAGTCGATGAAGGCATATTATATATACTATTCTCGGCGCCTATTGAGGAGATATGTTTCTCTTCCACCATTACCTAACATTTCATCAGCACCGATGGGCTTTTTACCTGTTTACTAGAACTCTTCGTCAAGAACCCTCCATTTCAAAGTAAGCATTTATTAGCGAAGGCCTTCGATATCGATGTTCTATAGAAAACTGTTCTTAAAGACTTTCTTTACCTCCCTCTCAAAAATACTATAATAGTAAAAAACGTAAATTATTTAAATGTTTCTATCCTCGGCACTGACCTACGGTGCTCTACATCGAGCACAGCGACATGTCAAGACTAATTCGAGATTTGGAATTGGCTCGTCAAATAGATACACTTCAATGTTAATCCTGATAAGGAGAATGAAGCAGCAGCTAGTTAACTAGTAGTTAACGTGAGTTGGTTATTATGTAGGCCATCACATCCCCAGTGTCGCGGGTCAGCGTCATCGCTAGAGTATTAAATATTAGACGCACCGTACTGGAAGAAAGAAAAGAGAGAAGAAGCAGCAGCAGCAGCAAAATGCCCTGGGTCGGCCAAAAAAGAGAGTGAAGTGACGAAAAAAATTTTGCGTCCTCGGTCAGGCTCGAACTGACAACCTCCTGATTAACAGTCAGACGCGCTAACCAGTTGCGCCACGAAGACGAATTGTTGAATTCCAAGGGCTGTCTTCCCATATAAGAGTTAACATGAAATAAAAATGTAGTTCGCTCTTCAAACACCCGAGTATAGGGAACCTTAGGGAACTGGAAAGGTCTATCAACTACTAGAGCGCTTGGCCCAGCCCGCCCACAATTACCAGGCAGTCATCTAATTAGTTATAAGTGATCATGTGATGGTACAAAAAAGAAATCAATAGCGGACTGCGAATAGAACTTGGCCGGAGTAGTTTATATATATAGTTGGCGAAGCACAGACCTTCCCTCACGAGGCAAAAACTGCCTCAGGTGCGCCAACAACCCCAAATTTGGTATCCTCACCCCTCGAATACGAAGAGATGCCTCGACCATACAAGACCAAACAACTCTGCCAACTGGTATATAACTGAGATAAACCTCAACCATGGCCACTTAACCCCCACTCTATACCACGCAAAGCAGTTAAAAATGACACCACAAACCGTAGCGCCCAACAAGCCAGGAAATCCTGTCGCGCACTACCATGAAAGGCGGTTTGCACTCGGATTCGGCACCTGGCTCTCTGGCATCCTCGTCCTGGGCCTGGCCGCTGCAATCGTCGCAAAAGCCCGTCCTAGCCCGCTGCGCTTCGCAGCTTCCTATAACGTCGCCGCTGTATGGACCACCCTCCAATAAACTGTACAATACAGGCTCACTAATGATATATATCCACTTAACAGGCCACACTCCAATTCATCCTCATCTTCTTCGGCAGCTCAAAGCCCGCCTCGGAAACAGACCCGCGGCCGCCCCAGCGGGCGACTGCGGCGCTGGTAGTTTCGACGCTTATCTGGGCCGCTGCATTCCCTGTTATGTTTGTGTTTGCTAGCGACGATGAGGCGTTTCAGGTGCTTGATTTGAAGAAGCGTGGTGTGTTGGATTTGGGGTTGAGTGTCGTGAGTGGGTTGGAGAATATCACGCTTGCTTGTGGGGCGTTTGGGGTTTCGGCTTTGTAGGTTTTTTTCATCCCATTTTTCTGGGAGTTAAAGAAGGTGTAGAGCGCTGACTTGGGTTCCTACTTCAGCTTGTGTGTCCTGGTTCAGTGGTATTATACTATTCGACTATATCAGGGTGGGTTTGAAAGGGAGCATGTGAGGGCGGCATACCATGATTAGGACGTTTACGACGAGAACGGCTTTATCCTATAGTATGCCCTCTCCCATCTGCATCTAGAGGATTCCTTGTATTCTGGACGCTATACCCCTACGTGTCCTTGGACCCGATGTTTAACGTGAGAAATCTATTCATTATAATTATCCGTACTATACAACCATTATAACTCGACTAGCTCATAACCAGATAAGCGAAGCCACCCCAAAAACAACAGCTTTAACAAGCCAGCTGCTCACAGACAGAGTCGCCGCAGCGCCAGTATCGTCAGCGTCGTCAGTATTCCCAGTACCCCAGGCGCGGGTACCGCATGTGTTCTTGCGAGTGCGAACAGCCGGGGCAGCAGCGTCAGCTTTGGTCGAACCATTCGACAACCCGCCATCAACAAGAATGGTAGTGGCGCCATCAAGCGAGATAGTGCAAGCCTTGGAGATATTCTGCGCCTCAGCGCCCATACCAACATACGAGAGCATGGCCGGGACAAAGCTGGAATTGGCGTGGTGGTCGTCGCAGCCGCACAGGCTATACGGATCGCAAAGACAGTAGACCGGGACATTTCCTGTGGAAAGCCTGTACTTGGATTCGTACTGGTATCCGTATGCAGTGCTGGGGACGGCGCAGTCGCCGTTCTTGACGCCGTTCTCGTCGACGGTGTTGAAGCCGAGGTTGTCGAGCTTTTTGGCTGTGACGCCGTTGGGCGACTTGTTGCCGGATTTGAAGGGCACGGCGGCGCCGCCGAGGTAGCTGAGGTACTTTTGCTGGTCGGTTGCGATGTTGTTGGCGGCGGCGTTATCGGCGAGAGTGACGAAGGTGCCGGTGCTGTTATCGAAGCGGGGCGCTGTGCCGGAGCCATCGGGGGTTGTGCCACCTGCGGTGCTCTTTTTACTAGAGGCGGCTGTCAGTATGAGTGCGAGAGTTGGATATGGAGGAGGGAGTGGATGACGAACCTGCCCTGCTCGTAGGCGTAGTAGCTGCCGTAGCCGCCCTTGTTGTGGATGGTCTTCGATTTTCGAGAGGCGCATCGCCTGGTGCTATCATGGTCCCGTACCTTGCGCTTCCACAGCTGCACTGTTTCAAGTGCCTCGTTGAGAGAGGGAGATGATACGGAGGGTAAGTCTCTCGGCGTAGGGTCGCTATGTGCAGCGCACAACCCCAGACACAGGAAAGCTGCTGCAAGCAGCGCGAGGAGTGATGAACGAGAAGCCATTATAGATTATGTGGTGATTGAAGCCGAGGACGAAAGGAATCAGTTGAGAAAGGTGAGGACTGGTTTATATCTTAATCTGGCCCCCAATCGCAGCAGTGTCATAACCTTTTTAGTGAAATGGGAACTGGCAAGAGGCTTAGACGACCTTGGATCATTCTGTAATAGAACCTGGCCAGAACACCAATCAGAGCCGTCAGACCCTGAAAAACTGCCAGGAACGTATGATTTCAGGGAGGCCTGGCTTATGGTGAGGTATAATTCAACGGTGGTTTGCCGTGGGTCTCATGTTGATCACTCGGCCTTTGGCCCTCCAAATGCGCCTGTGGAAATGAGAGCTTGGGCATATCAGAGGCCGAGCCAGCCAAATGGTGGACACAAGCGCTGCAAGGCCGTCCCAGCTTGCCGGAGACCCTGCCTGGGCCGCTTTTCCTTCGCTCAAGCCGCGCTAACAGTGTGCCTGACCGTAAGCCAGTGTCCACTTCAAGGCTCAGCCTCGCAGGGCGGCCTTCAATTAACCAATCGCACTAATTCAGTTTCCCAAAGGGCAAGCTGAAGATACTCCCACGGCACAGCCGCACAGGTATGGCGACTTCGAGTCATGGTGGTAGCAACCCACAACTTCGAAGGTTTACAGTGTAGGCGTTGCCAAGTGCCGACTTGGTGGTGACAATAATAAAGCTGAACAGACCCTGCATGCTAGTGAGGCGGAACCATGGTCGATATGTTATCTCTTTGGTGGGATGAGATGTTTGAGCATCATATTACCGGTAGGGCCATGGTCGGATCCAATGTACCCCAGACAGGCGTCAGAACCTTATTGGGCACCGGGGATAGTCGCTGGGGTATGTAGTCAAATAGTCCCAGACTTTTCACCAACCATCCGATGTGGTGTAATGGTTAACATCGCCGTCTCTCACACGGCAGCTCGGGGTTCGATTCCCCGCATCGGAAGCTGAATTTTCTTTTTTTTTTTGTTTATGAAGTTCCGATAACTTTATATTGTTTCTTCCGCGAGGCATAAGTTTCGTTCTACAGACGGCGAGGTTTAAGTTTTATGTCATAGCAGTGACGTCAACATTTGCCAGCCCCATGAACGAAGAGAACCCCCGATAACAGATTGAGGAAGTTTTGCTTCATTATCATAAGCATAAACAGCCAACTGCCTGCCAAGACTGTCATACTGTCAGACAAAATTGACGTGCATAACTTTTGAAGTGCAGATTGACCAAGATAACTGGATGTTATCTCCAAAATGAAGTCTTAGACCACTTCTCCAATTTGATTTTGGATGTTTTTAGAGGCCAAGCCCAACATGAATAATACCATTTTTCTCATCGGCAGGTGAGATGCTTGCGTGACTGCTGCTGCTCGTGTTACGGTTGGCCCGCCTTACAGGGTTGGAGCCGATAGCCGGAAGGCTTCCTTGGCGTGTCAGTGCTGGCTCCAACTTATCTGCGGGCGGCCACTTTGCCTTTCCTGATCACTCTCGGACTTCCTCGAGGTCGCTCGCTGTCTGTCGCTCTATTCTCTCCACTCTCTACTTTCCAATTACTCCGATGTGATTATTATTACTTATTTACACTGCCATCTTCAGTCAATCTTTACATGCTGTTTCCTATGTCTGACCTTGTCCTTCACAACCTCATTAATCGCTGATTGCGTGCTGCGCTCCTCCCGATAACGGCTATATCTGTTACCATCCATCCCCCACGCGACCGTCGACTTCGTGCTGTGGCTAGCTGACCTCGCGGGGAACCCTATCCTCCCCCTTATCGATTCCGCACCTATATGATATATTAGACAATATACACTCTTTCGGGTAACTGTACCCAACAGACGACATGGCGGATACGGGGCTAAAAGCAAAGCGGCTTGTCTCCATTGTCGCCGCGACAATGGTGGCTCTTGCTTGTGGAACAAATGTATGGTTTTACTGCAGGGAGATACTCTTTAGTAGAAGGTTACTGAACAGTGAAACAGTATGCATACTCGGCCTGGTCGCCCCAGTACGCAGAGAAGATGAAGCTTTCATCCACCCAAACCAACCTCATAGTAAGCCGATGACGTCGCCGCTTGATGGACCCCATATATTCATGCCATTGTTTAGGGAGCAGCAGCAAACCTGGGAATGTATGCCTGCGGTATGCCAATGGGTCTTTTGACGGACAACCGGGGCCCGCGACTCACTACTTTAATCGGAGCTGTCGCTCTCGGAGTGGGCTACTTCCCGCTGCATCTCGGTACGATTGTGTTATGCGCACACTTTTGATAAGGATGTACTGACCTGTAATAGCTTATAATGGTGGCCAAGGGTCGATGGGTGTTTTCTTCCAGGCCTTCTTCTCGTTCCTGACTGGTTTCGGGAGCTGCTCTGCCTTTGGCGCTTCAATCAAGACTGGTGCGCACAAGAAGTCTCCCTGCTTTAATCTTGTCTCAAATATCGAGTCTAATATCGAGTCTAGCTGCAACAAACTTCCCCGAACACCGTGGAACGGCTACGGCATTCCCTCTTGCCGCGTTTGGTCTGAGCGCTTTCTTCTGGTCGACGTTGTCGGCTGTTCTGTTCAATGGCGATCCTGGCCGATTCCTTCTCCTGCTGTCCCTTGGGACTTCTGTCATGAACCTTGTCTCTTTTCCTTTTATGCGACTTTTGGCGCCCCTCCCCCCTACTGGGCCATATGCCCCAGTGTCTGCACGCCGCTCCGTGGAATCCAGGCCGCTGCGAAGGCCCAAGTCTACCGAACTGCACTCCCATATTGGAGACTCTAGCGACGCAGGTATGCATTCCACCACCATTTTCTCCCAATCCGACATCCACTCCAGATCATACTCAACTGCCTCAAAAGCCCAAGCCCATGGGAACGGTGCAGATATCGACGAACTTTCGTCCTTGGTTTCGAAAACCCCGTCGCGAACGTCCCAGGATTATTTCCATGAGCGTGACCCAGAGGAGGATGATGATGGCCTGTCTGATGTTGTTCCCGACCCACATCAACCAGACATCAGAGGTTTGGCAATGCTCAATAAGGTCGAGTTCTGGCAACTCTTCCTGACAATGGCGCTTCTTTCTGGTATTGGTCTGATGACCATTAAGTATGTCTCAACCTTTACCTTTCTTCCTTTACTTGGCTAACGTCTTCTTAGCAATATTGGAAACAATGTAAGGAGCACTTCTGTCTGTACTTGACGCATGTTGACTGTTTAATAGGTCAAATCTCTCTGGCAACATTACGACGACAGCGCGTCGTCACAATTCATACAGCAACGACAGGTCATGCACGTGTCCATTCTGTCATTCGGGAACTTCGCTGGCCGTCTCTTGAGTGGTTTGTGTATCTACCAACTTACCCTGGCTTACGCTAACACCTATCAGGTATTGGATCTGATATCCTTGTTAAGAAGTTTAACATGTCACGATTTTGGTGCTTGTTTCTGTCCTCGGTGGTTTTCACGCTCACACAGGTCGCGGGCGGCTCGATTGTCAACCCGAACCAGCTGGCTATTGTATCGGCTTTAACTGGAATCGCCTACGGTTTCCTCTTCGGCGTTTTCCCTTCGTTGACCGCTCACACTTTCGGCATCAACGGTCTTTCTCAGAACTTTGGTGTGATGACCCTCGCGCCGGTATTTAGCGGTAATGTTTTCAACCTGCTTTACGGTGTCATTTTCGATCTCCACTCCATTGTCGACAAGGATGGAGACCGGGATTGTCCCGACGGGCTCTCCTGCTACCAGGCCGCGTACTACATGACCTTTTTCTCTGGGGTTGCTGGTATCGTCGTTTGTGTATGGAGCATTTGGCGTGATGGGAAGCGTGGACAGGTCGATGCAAAACTTGAACATGATAGAATCGCCTGATCGCCACGTTTGAATATGATACCTGGTACATGGACCGCATGGTTGAACGAAGGATATATAGAAGACTTTCACGTTTTTCCTTCGTGGCGTCTTGTATCGGACTTGGTGGTTTTGAATTGGTTCGCCGGAGATGAGACTATGCATTTCTGCCCTATTTAACATCTAATTGGCATTTCCTTGCAGCTTTACTTAGACATCTGACTGTATATAGTTGGCAGTACCACATTTATTGAGACTGTCTTGAACTAGATCACTACACTTTCCTTATTCCACCTACGTAAATAAACAAAAAAAAAAGCAACTTCCGATGCGGGGAATCGAACCCCGAGCTGCCGTGTGAGAGACGGCGATGTTAACCATTACACCACATCGGATTGTGGATTGTGAGGCAAAAAAATGCTATATAGGGCAGCCGAGCATTGTGGAGTGGTGTGGACCTTTACAAAACACGTGACTGTCGCTTACGTAACGGGACACCTGACGAAGGCGGCGGTCGGATCAACATGCCGGTTGCATCACCGACTCCAGGTTACCTCCAACTCTCTCCAAAGCGACTTCGGTCACCAACACACACTGCCTTACTGGGAATAATTGCGATACAGAAATGGGGGCTCTTCTATCCCTGCCTCTTTTGGCGCTTCCAAGTGCCGGCACGGTATGTTTTCCTACGCTGACGTTGCCCGCTATCTTTAGGCGCTGACTGGGTTTCTAGGTACTGACGGCGGTCGGTTCGTGCTGCGGAGCTGCGACATGTTCAGCTGTTTGTAGCGCATGTGGAAAGTTCAACAACAGGTAAGAAAGCGATGATAATGAATACTGTTGTCAAGGAGGAGCCGATTGCTGACTGCTGGTTAATCTAGCATGGCTACGAGAATCGCCTACGCCTTTATCCTCTTAATCAACTCGATCGTTTCCTGGATTATGCTCACGCCATGGGCGCTCAAAAAGCTACAAAATCTTACTTTGGACTACATGGAAATCAAATGTGACGGGAAAGAGTGCTACGGTTGGGTCGCGGTTCATCGCATCAATTTCGGTCTTGGGCTCTTCCACTTAGTCTTAGCGGTGTTCTTGCTTGGTGTGAGGTCGTCGAAGGATGGCCGTGCAGCACTGCAGAATGGCTTCTGGGGTCCCAAGGTTGTGCTGTGGCTTCTGTTCGTTGTGATGTCATTCTTCATCCCGGAGTCATTTTTCTTTGTCTACGGTCACTACATTGCCTTCTTGTGCGCCATGCTCTTCCTCCTCCTCGGCCTCATCTTGCTCGTCGACCTGGCGCACTCTTGGGCGGAGCTCTGCTTGCAGAAGATTGAAGAGAACGATTCCCGTATGTGGCGTGGGCTGCTTATTGGATCTACATTGGGCATGTTCATCGCTTCTATTGTCATGACGATCCTGATGTATGTCTTCTTTGCGAAGAGTGGATGCGCTATGAACCAGGCAGCGATTTCGGTATGTTTATCTTCTCTCATTTTTTAATGTGTGTGTGCTGACAGGAGAAGATCAACTTGATTGTTTTCCTTATCATTTCGTTCATCTCAGTCCAACCTGCAGTTCAGGAACACAACCCTCGTGCTGGACTGGCGCAGGCTGCGATGGTGGCTGCGTATTGCACCTATCTAACCTTGTCCGCTGTCTCAATGGAACCCGACGACCGTCAATGCAACCCGCTAATCCGTGCTCGTGGTACTCGGACTGCCACTATTGTTCTTGGTGCGATCGTCACCATGGCTACCATTGCATACACTACGACCCGAGCTGCGACACAAGGCTTTGCGCTGGGATCCAAGGGCGGCCACAACTACTCTGAGCTGGGAACCGACGACAACGAGCATGGTCTTGTCACCCAGCAGCCGTCGAGCCGCCGTGAGATGCGCGCCGAGGCCCTCCGCGCAGCCGTCGCCAGTGGCAGTCTTCCAGCCAGTGCTCTGGACGACAGTGATGACGAAGATGATGATTATGATGTGAAAGACGACGAGAAGGGCACGACGCAGTACAACTACTCGCTCTTCCACATCATCTTCTTCCTGGCCACCACCTGGGTAGCCACCCTTTTGACGCAGAACCTGGACCCCGAGTCCGTTGACGACTTTGCGCCAGTGGGCCGGACCTACTGGGCCAGCTGGGTGAAGATCATCAGCGCCTGGGTATGCTATGCTATTTATCTGTGGACTTTGGTTGCCCCGATCCTTCTTCCAGACCGATTTGATGTGCATTGATTTATTCAAATGGGATTATTTTTTGGCGTTTGCGTGCATTTTGGTTTTGCTGTTTCGAAGTTCCTTTTTCTGATATCCTTATTCGTTATTACCCGCTCGTTTTGGCGGCGAGACTGTCAGTTGTATATGTATTTTGCAGCGTTTGTGAATCATGAATTGGATTTGATTGCAACTTTTGTAGTCCAAACACGATATTATCAAGGCACACCTTTTTTTGGCCTCAGTTCCTAAACCAGAATACTCACTCAATATCCTTCACATCAACCGCAACCTCATCCTCGTCGGGACTGTCCCCATCTCGATACTTCCACAGCCTCGACAAATCGCCCAGCGGCCTCTGCATGATCCTCTCCACCCCATCCAGCCCCTTCACGGGCAAATCAACCATGCGATCCATAAACCCGCCGTCCTCTCCAAACATCGTATCCAGGTAATGCATATTAAGCAAGTGTCCCGACCCCTCCCTTACAAACACAGACCCCGAGAACAGACTCCCGTTCGAGTACGCCGCTGTGGGACTCGTGAACCTCAACACCCCGATATTCGATACAAAGTCTTTGGTGTTCGCGTAGTGCTCTACGTGTCGAAGAACCCTGCCAACTCGGCCTGGACCTTGTCCGCGTCTGCGTCCTGGCATTGCCCCTGGTCCGGGATTATCGTGTCCATGCTCGTACTCATGGTCATGCTCAGGCTCACTCTCATGTCCATGCCCAAGTTCATGCTCGTGCTCATGGTGCCCACCACCACCACCGCCAACATCCCCTAAATCCCTCAAAGGCGGATTCCGCAACGCTCTTCCCGCACTTGCAAACGTGTAAACCTCCAATTTCCGTAACTCTTTATGCCCCAACTCGCCAAAAAGCCAATCCAAGATTGAGGCCGCGATTATGCCGCCCTGCGAGTGTGCGATCAGCACGACTTTTCGTGTTGATGGCGCCGCGAGCGCTGCGCGCAGCTGCGCGCGCCCTTGTCGGATATCTGCGGTTTTGTAGTCGAGGTCGCGCTGGATGAGGCATTCTATTAGGTCGAGGATGAGGCCTTTGCTGTTTATGTAGTTAGTTTCTGTTTCCGGGTTGATTTTGGTTTTGGTTTAAGTAGGACATGGTATTGGGATAGAGACGAACGTTGGGTTATGGATGCCGACGATTTCCCTCCCGAATGTTTCTGCTAAGAGGTTGAGGTTTTGTTGATGCCAGTGAGTTCTGGAGGGCAGGTGGTGTTAGCATTCTAGGTACTCTGTTCGGATACTGAGAGAATGTCCATACCCCGTTGCAATCCCATTAATAAAAAACCATAGCTCTCTCTCATCGTTAACAGGCTGTCTTGATGTTGGAACCCCAATAAGGGAGCGTCCACTTGGTGGCCCATTCAACAGCCTCACCAGGACCGCAGTCACGAGCGCAAAGGCCGCATAGAACACCGCGTGCACTATAAACGGGACGGCCCAAAAGGTGATGAATGCGATTGGGAGAGATATGAGGAGGCAGACCTGGCTGATGACTAGAATGGTATGCAGAGCCAGGTCTCGCAGATTGGGGAGGGAGGGGTAGAGCTCGTCCGCAGAGCCGGACCTGAAGGGGTGTAATGGGAGAAGAATCAATGGGACTAGCCGGGACAGCCGGAAGACGGAGAGGACATCCTCATGGACCCAGCGGAAGGGATTGCTGTCTGTGTCTGAGGGAATGTCGAGGAAGGGGTTGCCGTGGACTGGAGAGTTGGGGTTGTACGAGGCCATTTTGATTTACCACACTCACTACTACCACTGCCTACGTAGGTGGTGGTAGTCCTACGGTATTTATGCCACCAGCATTGTGGCTAATGTCGTTGTGTCATGAATTAAGTGAGTCAAGCATGTGCTTTTCTTTTCATATCCAGAATATCCGGAACGTTCGTGGCATGACCATCAGATGGTTCCAAGAGTTTGCCCTAACTATCTTATCCGCGGAGTCCATCCATCCCATCGAAGATCACTTTTTTATCTACGAAATTAGTCCGTTAGTTCCTCTTCCAATATATATCTCGTAAAGATAAGAAAAGGTCACTTACTACAAGGGAAAGGCGTCCACTCGCTCCCATCCTCAGGCAAATACATCTTGAACGCCCCGTTCACCATCTTACTCTTCATCTCCCCCGGAGGCCCAGGAGCGCGCCGGACATTGTCCAATCTACCGAGGACACGCAGCACACAAGCACCAGCAGTGGTGACAATTGCTCGGCCCAGACATGAGTGCTGGCCCCAGCCATGGTGGATATAGCGATCAAACGGCCGGTCGAGCTTGATCTCCTCCGGATCAGGGAACTGGTCCGGGTCGAGACCGGCCGTGATGAAGTCAGCAAAAATGGTGTCTCCTTTCTCGACTGACTTTGTGGATGTTCCGTCTCTAATGGTGGTGTTTTTTACTGCCGTGCGAAGGACGCCGAAGGCTGGAGTGGAGAGGCGAAATCTGCAACATGGTAAGTTTACATCAAAGTGGGTGAGTGGGCGGGCGGTAACATACCCCTCAAGAGCGTATTTCTTAAGCTTCTCGAACGCCTCAGGGTCTTCCGACTGTGCTAGGCTCCGGATTGCCGGCCAGTGGACTGCGTACTTGTCTGAGAGGTAGAAATCCAGTAATTGTGCCCACTACCGTATTGTCAGTACACCACTACCCTCGTTGGAAGAGAAACAAAAACATACTCCCTGAGCTTGAGTAGCACAAGCCGCCGCAGCAGTGGGGATAATCGTCCAAACAACCTCTTCAACACTCTTCCCTCCCTCACGCAATCTCTTTACTAGCTCGGGCCCAAACCCAGTCAATTTCGACTTATTGCGGCCGAAGAGCCGTGAAGGGTGGCTGAATAGGTGCCCAGATGAGCCTGAGACGACTTTCGTCATGACTTCGCCCATGCGCTCGGTCTCTTTGCCTGACACGAGACGGTTCCTGTATGACTGTGGCGGGTCAACGTCTAGGAAGACGTAGCCGAATAGTAGGAAAAGCGCATCCGATAGCTCTTTGACTGTGTATGCGTCGGATGGGGCATGGTTTACGCCTTTGACGGGCATATCGAAGAACTCGGAGCAGAAGTACGCGTGTGCGAGGTTTCCGACACTGGGTTTGTTAGATCTAACGGGCTTTCTATTCTTCTCAAAGCGGATTCATTGGCGGACTTACTCTCGTACAATATCAACCTGGTACGAGCCTCCAAGCTTTTTGCTGTTTCGTTTGATGAGATCCGTTGTAATGGACTCGTAGAACTGCCGCACTTGATCTAGTGTATCGGACGGCCTATACAGCCGTTCTGCAACGAACGTGCGCTGTTCTGCGTTTGCTACGGAATCCCCGCTGAGCATGTAATCATGCTTGATAAGCTGGAAGGTATGTTCGCCCCCTGGTAGTTGAAGAATAAGCACTAGCAGCGGCGAATATGGAACAATGCAGAATGGCGAGCAAGAACTTACAAGGGACATGGAAATTTTTCTGATCACTCAATAGATCAACAACGCCTCTCCACGTCGTAACAGGCACAGGCGGCTTAGTGAACGACGGCCTCTTAAAGTCCAAGGTATCAGCCCGGCCATTCTTGATGAAGACCTCTTGGTTCTTCTCCGGGGTTGTAAACGGATACAGAGCGTAGACGCTGTTAGGGCTGTACCAGCCCGGGAACGCCCGCATGAGTAACTTGTACATAACACCACCACCTGCAACGTTAAAATCGGACTCTGCCGTATTGAATCTGATTGGAATTAGTTATTCAAGTCATTTATCATGAAAATGTTATGAAAATGTTGCTGGCTCACCCGAAATTCGTCAGATTGGCCGGACTATAGTCAACCGTGTAGAAGCGGTCTCCGCGCACGAGAGCAACGGCGTCAGATAGAATAGCTACTGAGATTGTGAAGCCAGGACAGAGACCTGAGCCAGGGAGGAAGGGTTTCTTGGCTTCTTCAGCTTGCACGCCTACGTAGAGTTCAATGTTGTCAGGGTGCCCGTATAGTGCTTCCACTGGGATTGTTAATTGGGATGCCCAAGCTCAAAGGGTTTGAGTGTGGGAGACATACGCGCTTCGGCAACCTCAGGGTTAGAATTGACCTCCTCTGTAATATCTGTTAGCTTTGCGTGAATCGTGACATAAAGCATTTCATACCAAAAGTTGCATGCGGTTTCAGTTTAAAGAACGTCCTTAACTCATTCAGCGTGGCTAGACCCCAATCCCTGCCCTGTTGGATCCCAAGTATTTCGATGGCTCTCATTACTTTGGGTGTATTTAGAGCGCCAAATGCTCCTGGATAGATTGATCAGTCCCTCAATTGCATGAATATCTTGAGTTATGGAAACGTACCAGCCACATTCTCACACCCATCCTGCAATAATTTCACCAAATCTTTATCTGAAAACTTTCCTTCTTTATCTCTCTGCAACTCTCCAAATGTCCATGCCGATGGCTCATCCGGAGCTGCTTTATCGAGGTACTGTCTCAGCCCGGCGAAGTATCGTTCCACGGACAATGTGCCTGATAAATACCAGTACTTAGCTTAAACTATCCACTTAAAAACAAATACAAAGAACAAAATAAGACGAGGCAGGAAATACATACTCACATCTACCCTCCCGCCAAAAACCTTAGTCGCAAGTTCGTTCGCCCACTTTTCATCATGGTCACTGATCGCCGCATGCCAGCGGTATATCATATTGAACTCAGCGGAGACCTGATTTCCGACGCCCTGAGGAAGCCCCTCAGAATCGAAAGCCGGTATAGTCTTGCGCGGGTCGATCGTCCAATCTGAATTGAGCGGATTGTCGTTGAGGTTGAGGATTGTGCGCAGGTAGTCGTTTAGGATTATGGAGACGTACAGACCGCACGTTATCCTGTTGCAATGGATTAGCTTGAATGGGGACTGGCGTTCATAAAATAGCTCAGGTGTAGACGTACAGTCTCCCCGTTTGAAACAACGCCTCATCTCTCTTCCCGAGAGCCCAGACATAATCTGGTGATTTCTCTTCACTCCCAACTGGCAAGTCGAATCTCCCTGCCTCGTTGATCCTTGCTAACTCTTCGACAACGTAGTTATGGAATCGGTTGAATGCGACCAGAAGCGCACAGACGCCAGGGGGCTGCGAGAGAAGGCGCTTTTCGGCAAAGGTATCTGGTTTTAAGAGTCCATCTGTGAAGGTCCTCACTTGGGTCTGCTCAGCCTGGTTGTGGCCGTAGAGTGGGCCGAGATCGAGATAGCAGGAGTTTTTGACGGTGGTGGGGTTTAGTTCGTCAGTGTGGAAGAGATCTGTATATTTTCAGCTTTTGCTTGGGATGCTAGACTATGTAAAGGACACCGCACCGTGAATTATAATAGTAGCGAGGTAGAATAGGTTGCTTGAGACTTTGGTAGGATGTTCTCTTGCGGGCCCTTGACGGGCCAACAATGCTGTAGTTATTAGTATTTAGACACCAAGACTATGTATCCCTGAAGAAATGGCTGAGGACCTACTGTCGAAAATAAGCCCGGGGTCGGGCAAGACCGCTGGTCGTGGATGCTTGGGTGTCACGGTCCGCGCATAGTGACTCCCTGATGCCCCGAGATGGGGGTACATAATATTCTACCATAGTGAGCCCGTTAGTATTTGCAAAAATAACATTGGAGCCATGATTAGAAAAGGGAGCAGGTGTAGTACATTAAAGCTCCCATCCGCACGTCTATAGCGGAACTCATCGCCCAGATACGACAGAGGGGGATGCTGCAGGTTATTCCAGAGCGTTGAGACAAATGTATCTGTGAGTTTGTTTCTCAGGCCTGAAGTATTTGGCAAGGACGCAGCGACTTGGATTATATTTTCGATCTTGCAGAAGACAAAATTAGCATTGCCGAACTTATCTCTTGTGCATTGAAGTAGACGAACGAGATACTTCCTATCATCGATCAAGCCGCCATTCAGTCCGGTCTGGGAGATTTCACGGAGGGTCCGAAGGTCAGCGGGAATGCGGTGTGCCTGGCTTAGAAGGTCGGCGTGCAGGGAGCTGAGGAGAGAGGTGAGGGTGGGTGGCTGGGATTGGGATTGAGACTTGGCTGAAGCCAGTGTTGTGGTGGAGGAAGAGGATTCCTCGTCTTCGGGGCCGTTGTGCATAAAGGGCGCCATGTTGATTACGATGGACTAGTAGTATGAGAGCATTTAATTGCGTTTAATTGGGATTAGGACTACTTTGGGGACAGTGAGCACACAGCTGCTTATAAGCCAAAAGAAGCTGCACCATGTTGATTGCTATGATTCATGCCCTCGAGGGTTTGTTTGGGTAATATAATCTATTCGCGAATTTGGCCACGATGGAAGTCTAGATCGGACTGAACCGTGGATTTGTATAACCACGATGGTGGGAATTTGACTTTTGAGGCTGCGTGGCGCGACTCCACGATTGATCATGCTATCGCTACCACTCTTATATACAGGCCAATACAGGTTCTTGTCATTAGAAGATGGACAGGTCGGCACGAGTAAGTGGATCGCTCGACCATGCAAAATACAAGGACATAGCATAGAGATTCGGCACCAAGATGCAAACGGAAAAACAATCAAAACGCCGGCTAAATGATCCCCCAGACAAACAATTCTTGGAAAAAATACAAATATTAGGCCAAATGGGGCATTTTGTACACAAATTCATCGATTGAATCCAACATAAAGAGGCGCTAATTCGTTTAACGAAGTCGAAGTAACCATGACATCTGGATGGTTTGATCAGAGGTTGCCGGAGAGCACAGCTTCCGTGGCTGCAAATTGTAAGTTAGTATCGAAGACCATAAAAAGAATAGCATCGGAATTGCTTACCAGAGTTGATATACGGGCGTTTTGCATCCAGATTGACACCAAAACGTCTCTCGAGCTCCTGCTTGATGTTCTTTTTCGTAACGGTCATCAAGTCCGCCGTGCGTAGAATGTCGCGGATCTCCGAAAGAATGGCGTCTTCGCTTGGCAAATGACTGATGTCCTCCATTTCCATGTCCATGTGGCGGCTCATCATTTCTGATGGTGCCAGCGACATCCGAGACATATGGCGTGGCAGGTCGAGTTGGGACATCGGCCTCGAACCGGGAATGCCATACTCGGATTGCGCCGTAGGGTGGTACTTGGTGCCATACGAGATGCCCGAGATTTCGGACCGATCGTCTCGAGACGTCTGAGCGTCCCACAGTTCTGCCTGGTACTCCTCCCACCTCTTCTTTGGAATAGTTGCCGGGTCGAATTTTCCTTCGTCTGATATGACGACCTTGCGGCCCTTCTCTCCAGTGATGACACGAGTATTACCCCAGGAGAAGTCATCCATGTGCCAAAAGGAATAGAGCGGTAGGGCCAGTGCATACACGGGCATGGCGATGATGTAAATAATCATCCACCCAATCATTTCCCATTTCCGGCGCAGGAGGAAGATAATGGCCTGCAGACCGTAGATTGCAGCAAGGAGGAGGAACGACGTCCAAGGGATAGTCGATGTGTCGCGTGCGAGCCAGACAATCAAGTAAATGATGTAGGCGATGGTGACGGGCATAATAATAGTACTGATAAGGTCAATAAATACCACGAATCTCATACTGAAGCAGCAGAAACCACATAGTTGCTGAAGTGGAATCAGCTCAACAAGGTTGTGCACAGTAGAGTTAATCCAGCGACGACGTTGGGAGAGGAACACAGCCCAGCTTTCCGGAGCGATGGTCCAAGCCTGCGCTCGGAAGATGTACTTGGTTTTGAACTTTGGATGATATTTCAAGAGCAGAGTAGTCAGGTAACGATCTTCACCAAGATGCAGCAAATTCTTCATATGCAGCGTGTCGACACGAATCTCCGAGTAGGATTCCACAACTTCTTTGCTCACAAAAAGCGGCTTCCCAGTTTCCGCGGATCGAATGCGGTACATGGTGAAACATCCAGGCAAACAAGTAACGGACCCAAAAAGACTCTCGAACGCCTTTGTGAGATTGTGAGAGATGTAGTATTCGTAGACTTGGATCATAGTCACCGCAGAAGTTTTGGCATTTGTAAGCGATGTTTCTCCGCAAACGCCAATTATACGGATATCGTTCAGACAGGAAGAGACCATTCGGGTTGCAGCATCGTGGGCAACGACAGTATCGGCGTCGACCTGCAGGATGAATTCATAGAAAGTTGGATTGACTCCAATGATATTCCGGATTTGGTGGTGCATTTCAAGTTCCATAGGGCTCATGGGAAGGTTGTAATGAACGCGGTTCAGGAATCGCATCAGCACCATCTGCGAGTCACGCTTGCCACGGTTACCAGGCCGCGAGACTTCGGATGGCTTTCCAACCTTGACAACGACGAGGAAAGGAACGATATGGCCCTGGACCTCGTACAAGCCAGAATAGACTTTACCCATATTGTGCTGCTTCATTCCTTCACCCAAACTCTCGAAGCTAAGCGGTTCTGGATCAACTGTTTCTGGAACACCCAAGATATCGAGAACAATTCGAGGCGTCGGTCGGTCGTTGCCTTGACCGATGATCATACCATCACAAATGATGACGAGAAGTTTGCGCTTATCGTCATACCGCATACGGGCCATCGAATCGATAGCACGGCGCAATGAGTCTTCGTCCTCGGTGTACGCCGGAACTTGACAGATGATAAACTTGTCCAAGTTCTCTGGAAGGTTTTTCTTCCCAAATTGCAGCGCGGCAAAGAATTTGAAGATGACAACAGAACAGATGAGAATCGAGATTGCAAGGATGAAGTACCGCGCAAATTGGCATTGAGTCGAGTTTCGGGTATCGACATGGCCGACGATGAAAAGGTTGTCTAGACAGTGCATCATATCATTACGCATTTTGGGGCTGATCTGTAGATTCTCCCAGAGCTTCGTAATGTCTGACCCAGGTTTTTGCTGGAAGAGGTCAACCACCAACGGATCCATGAAGTCAGAATCGACACCAGATATATCCTCGCCCTCCCGGCCTTGAATACGACGACCTCCAGCGATATAAGTTGTCAAATCGTAGACTTTTCCGTTAATACTCGCGACGTTTTGGTCCTTATCTGCCAGGGTTTTCATATATTGCGAACTGTAACCGATCCAGCCCTTGTAATAGTTGGCCTTGAGCACCCTCATCTGTTCGGTGTACCAGTCTGGGCGATAGTCACCACCCTTTCGGAACCATCTGAAGTCGTGGTACATAGAATTGGCGTCGCCAGAGCCAATTGTCTGAACAGAGCCGGTGAAGTTCGTCGGGTCGTAATTGAGCAACACTTTCGGATCGACATTGCCATCTTTGCCAGCACACAGGGCTGAGACTTGAACTGGGAAAAGGCCTGTTGAATCCTTACCAGCGTATTTTTTCAACGCTGATTCCGGAACGATATTAGGATAATGTCGGGGCATGAATTCACCAAGGTCCAGAACAAGACCGCGGATGGAAGTATACGCAGTGTTACCGTCCTCGCCGTCATGCGACGACAATTCCGAAGCGGAGTAAACGTGTTGAGTAGGGCAAATCAGCATGGGGAACCCGACAATGATAAAGATCGCAATACCACAGCACAGCCAAATGAGAAGGTTGATCGCAAACTTTTCACGCCAAGCAACTTGAACGTCCTTGCGCTTCATACGACCGATAAAGCGGATGGCAGGAGTTGGAATGTACCAAGTGAGAAACCAAACGAGGGCCATCCAGCGCTTTCGACTACCGGAGACGGTTAATTCTTCGACCTCCTCCATTTGCTTTTCATTCCCCTTTTCAAGCATCTGCTCCCTTGTTTCCAAGTTGCGGAACATGTCACCCGAATTGAATGCTGAAAGGCCAGCGTCAGAGCGTCCATCGAAGTCTCGACTAGCATTGGATCCCTGCTTGGATTCGTCCCCATAGATATATGCACCAGGTGAATGGTCGGCGGGATTGAGTAGTCGAACCTTGGAGTCGGCATAGTTCGCCGAACGGGGATGGAGTAGTGCATCGCCACCATCATCTTCGAGACCGTAGGAAGGAATGACGCGCTCGCCTACCTTGGCAAGGTCTGCCCAGCATCTCTCGCTGAGGAACACCCCTGTGCTTCCGACCCGGGCTTCATTGCCAGGCCAACGTTTCTCGTCTAAGACGACTTCAGACTTTTCTTTATCACTGCCTACCACGATATTTCCTACATCTGCGAGACCAAGGAATTCAGCAAATGGCAGGAAGACGCTGAAATCAGCATTTCGGAGTCGTTGACTGATTTCGGCAATTCCAAATGTCTGCACCTGTGCTCTCACACACTTGCTATCAAACTGGTTTGCGATACGCCTGTCGTTTGGCTTTAGGCAAAAGACAAAGTATGGGTTTAGGTTGTTGGCAGTTAGACATTTGTTCACAATGTCAAGAGACGAAAGGAACTGCCCAGCAGCGCCTTGCATGCCTCCCATGAGCATTCCGCTCTTACGCTTCGCTGACGAGTTCTTGGCTGAGCTGCCTGCTTGACTTTCCGACTCATACGGATCTTCAGCCACAGCGGCATCGAAGGTGAGCCGCGAAGGAGGGCTAGCTTTACGCCTTGCCATGCTAGGCATTCGGGTAGGCTTTGAGCTTACTTGGGCCTGCATGATTGCAGATTTCTCTTTGGGATGTGCCACTGTTTGCAGAGCCTCTTGGCCGAAGAGCTCCCTCACAAAGTCGCTTCGAGTAGACTTCATGAGGTTCATCAAGTCTCCTGAGATAACCTCTCCATTCTCCTCGAGAAGGCCAGTGGCGGCATAGTCAACTTCTCCCGCAAAGTGCTTCACAGTGAAGGATGAGCGAGCGTTTTGTGAAACCATACCATAGCCAGACTCTGCACCGGTGGAGCCAGTGTTGATGGCAGGGTTCTTATTCTCGAACCTCCTATGCACAGCTTCAACAAACTGAGCATCCGTTCTTCCGCGCCGAGTTTGGTCGTCTAGGATACTCAGTAACCCATTGCCTTGCTTCAGTAGACCACGCACGGCGTCGGTGTTGTCGAAATAGCTTGTTGCAGGGACGGCAACCTCTTCGCGTTCTAGCATATCTGCCTTGCGATCGAAGAACGACCGAAGACAAAAGTTATACAAAGACTCGATTGCCGCGTTGTTCAAAAGTTGATCAAGGGTAGAACCAGTAGAACATGCTTGAGCAAATCCAGGGAAGTCGATGATCGAGACTGTATTCGCCACGCTGTCTTCAGCAG